TGCTGGATTCGGTCTGATGATGTGTGTTTACTTCTCACATATACTTTACCCTTTTTTGGCTTCTTTTGTCACATATGTAGATACAGAAAATAGTCACAATCGAACAACAATGTCTTGATCTTACTACAAAGTTTCCTGTTTCGGAATGGTGCGCGGAAATTTCCGACACATCTACGGTAGTAATCGCCGCTTGTAACCCCTCCACCGACTTCATCTAATTCTGTCTGCGACTCCCTCCACCACAACATGAGCGGCTTATCAAACAAGAGACAAGATGCGGCGTTTCAGGAAATACAGAGAGTCTTGCATAAGTAAGCTAGCTAGTATGCACGTCTATCACGCTCGCCTCTAATGCAAATTCAGTGTCAAGCCCGATAACCTCCAAAGCAAAACTGGGTATTTCGTTCACTGCCAATCAATGCGTTAGTCTTGACAAATCGTTGCAGTGTTAGAAAATTCAAGAAGAAGACAAACGCATTGCTGCGCCAACTCGAGCAAGCTACTCCCCAATACGGACCTTGGGGACAATCTGCTCGACTAGCTCGACTAAGGTAAAGTCAGGCCTCTTAGTTCCCATTGCCTCATCTAATAGTTCACGATAGGGTTCTGATGCCTCTTATCCTTGCAAAATGCGCCGCATGGAATCTTCCCTTCTTCGCACGTATGCGAAGATTCTTACTGCGGGACCTCCGTGACATTGTATACGTGTATATATGGGATGACGAGACTCTGAAAGACACTCATTATCACATGTGGATGGTCTGTCAAACAAGAAGACCTACTGGCCCCAATTCGATTTCATGTGAAAGGTTGACCAAGCGGATCGTGGTACCAACACGAGATGATTTCCCAGGGGCACACGCAGATCACCCGTTCTTCATCAAGCCTGCATATGTAGGTCATGAGTCGGCCCGCGAGATTGTGGAAGCTTGGTGCAAGGCAGTTCCTCGCGTTCGTTCACACCAAGTACGGAGTGTTCTACTGCCTGGAGCAGAATTGGTCGTTTCGAACGACGCTTTTTTTGGTGGGGCTGGATCCTGCCGATGTTTTACGGAAGTTGAACATTGAAATCGATATGAGCAATCCTTTTCAGTGGGGTTATGCTCGAGACCTGCCCAGGGCAGCCAAATGGCGTCAATCACTCGACGCAATACGCCGTATCAAGAAAAAACAGGGGTTCGAATTGACCATAGTCTTGACACAGAAGCATATTAGGCTCAATCTCTAGTCCGAGTTTTTTGAGGCTCTTCGACCACTGATTGTGGAATTTGATACGGAGGGCGCTCGCGTGAAATTCACGCTTAGATACGCCAAGAGAACGATCAAACCTCCCATCGAGCTTGATCTACTCCCTCTCATCCGAAAACCGGAGTCTGAGTGGAGACAAGAAGCAGCAAAGTTCTTCGACAGTGTGAGTAATCCTTTTCCCGTGTTAAAAATCAAGACGAACTGACCTTTTCTAGCAAACACCATGTCTCCGCACCCGACATCAAGATTATCTCGTTGAGAACAACCCAGATTATGGCCCGAACGACGCTTCTTACACAGATGGCGAAGACAATCAGCCAGGTGATGATCTTAGCCCGCGTCAAGAGGAAGACGAATCCTTGTTTAGCGACATCAGCGATGAACCTCATATCAGAGGCATAATTCTGCGCAATTGCGATACAAAGGACCAAGATCGAATTGATGCAATTGCAGAGATAGACTCCGACATGCAAGCGTTGCAAAACCAACTCGCAACGTTATTTAGATCTGGTGGCCTAAGTTGACCTGAACATGTAAATATCACGTACAATGAAGGGTTGCAAAGCCTTGTCGCAAGAAAATGGCTGACGTAATGGGTGAATATGCAAAAGTGAATATTTCACGTAGTTTCCTACAGCTATCAAGCTAAACTGGCACTACTGATCAGTGTGAAACACCATTCACCCCCTCACAGTATTTATCTCCCCATATTCCATTAATCTCAGACGCAACTCAATACTACACCACTCTTGCGCAACCGCCATGGCCAATAAAGGCACCCATGAGCGCGATCTACCTACCCTGGCTGCTCTCGCAGAGTTTTCCGACAAAGAACAATGCTACACCGAACTCTCCTTCTGCGTTCCTAATTCTCTCGCCTTTGCCAAGCGCCTCACGTGGGAGCAAACATCCTGGATTCCAAGTGCCATCGACTACAAGTTTGCGAACCCAATCAGCGCAGCTGACGCCCATCTCATCGCACATCATCTACGACACCAACTAGGTCAGACCGTTACTCCTTCAGCTATCCGAAATGCGCTGCTGCTCGGGAGCACATATGACCCCTCTGCAGATGGGAAAATGAGCAAAGACCTAGGCACATACTCCCACATCTTTGTCATCTTTCCTCATATATCTACGCACGCCGCAACAGACGAGACGTTTCTCAAAATCTGGCACGACGACATTGTCAAACCAGCTTTTGACCGCGCTTGGGCTGATAGTGGTCTCGTCACTGTGTCGGGCTGTCCTCACGACTCCAGAACCAGGATCCTACCTTCGCGCGGTATCTCTACAACCAATGACGCCTTGTCTTTCATTGGCTTCCACGAACACTTCCGCAACCGCAATTCAAACACCGTACGTACGTACTGGCCCTCGTGGCAAGATCACTCTTCCACCCCTGACATAGAAGGCCAATATACGGGTCTCCGCTCCACCACCTACGCATCAGCTTGGACGTCAATCAAGGGTATGTTGAAGGATCATCCTCAGCTACCGCAATATCAAGATCCCGTGTTGTTGGCGCTATGTAGGGGCAGGGTATTCGTTAATGCGTGGTTGAATACGCACGATCGGTTTCGCTGCTTGGCGCAGGAGTGGGATAAGTACGTTGATTCAAGATGGATGCAACAAGGTAGTTTCAAGATTGTGGAGGGAATTGTGATGGGGACTTTGGATGAGGCGAACAAGATGGTAGCGAAGGATGGGGCGAGTAACATTGTGTATGTGGGGGATGATAAGGGTAATATCCATGAGAGGCGCATTGGGGATGAGGACGGTGAGGACGAGCTTGATGATGACATGGAAGGGAATGGACATCAGACTAAGAAGGCGAAGATTTAGAGCGTGGACGCTTTCTTCTCGCCCATTTGATGGATTGATTGTCTCGCATATAGAGACAGTAAACTTTGACATGAACGTTCAGTAAGAGCGAGGTGGTAGACGTCCAGATAATAAACATTAATCGCTGAATAATTCACGGCTCTATTCATTTGTGTTGCCTTTAAGGTCAAGTACACTGAGTAACAAAAATCTAGCAATCTACGAACGAATAGCACGGATACACGCGCTACTCGAGGCAGTCCATGCTCCCCTCAGGGTCCTGTAGGTCATACTCGCGCGTATACACAACCCTCCCTCCCTCTATATAATGCGAATCAATATCATCATCATACAGTGCCATCGCTTCCCGAGCTGCTACCTGCGTCACCACCGGATGGTCAAGCCGTGAAACCAGAATGACCAACTTCATACCACGCATCTCGTATACAGCACCGTCATTGCTATCGTCCACAATTTGTTCCATTTCTCTTCACGCAATTTCAAAAATCCGGCTCCTCACAGCATCCATACTCGCGGAATCCCTGGTCCCATCAGGCTCCCAATAATCATCGTTGTGCGCTATCACTTCATATTGTTTTGGGAGCGTCTTGTAGGTATCGAAACCAGGCCGAATAGCTCGTTCTGCACCTGTTGGTATCTCCGGAACTTCATACTCCTGTAGAGCCCACGTGAAAGCAGGCGCAACCACATTGTCAAAAAGTATCCCCACAGGTCTTTTCTTCTGGTACGTCATATGTGGGAAAACGAGATACAAGCATGGCTCCTCAGAGAACGGGGTGTAGTTCTCACGATTCTCTCGCGTTCGACCAAGGTAGATGGCGTTTCTAATAGCATGAAGGGGAATGGAACGACCGGTAGATTCGAATGAGCGGTCTATAGCGCGGAGTTCGTTATCGGTTAGAGGACGATCGTGGCGGATATCTTTGGATAGTTCTAATGTTTTGATGGCGGAGAGAGATGCGACGATGAATATTAAGCTGGGAGATGACGCTACCTTGGCTGAAAATGGAGAAAGTATCGGAGAGCACGGTAGGTGGGGTGGGTGAAACGCTAGACGACTGCATTGTGGAGGCAAAGTGAGTTTGCGGGAGGCTATGAGTGTTGAGTCAGCCGGGATTGTTGTTGGTGGAAGAGATGGGAACAGATGTATTTACACTGTGGTAGACGTAGGTTCCCGGTTTGAGACCCCGGTTGAACTGGTATTGAGGACCCTTGGAGGATACGATGGATGAATGAATGGCGCACGGGTTGCGAGACCAGATAAGAGTGTACGCTGGGCTTATTTTGAGACCCCTCAAAATAGCTTGGACGATCAAGAGCTGCAAAAACAATTGTGATGGTCTTGACGCAGTATATAGAGGGACACACATGCCTGCAGTTTATTGGAACATGTGTATAGTCACTCCTGCTGTTCCAAACCCGTTCGCGTCAAGCATCTTCTTTTCAAATTTCCCTTATTGTTATCTCTACCGTAAGTCTGTACGATACGGTTTTTTGATCAATTCATACGATAAGTTTATCGGATAAGCCTACACGAAACCACCCGTGTGTCATAGAACACTTTACATACTAGTGTACAAGGGCCACTGTTGTCGCCAGACGCGCCTATTAGGTACTTACTCACACTGTCAAGTGTTTTATGACAGCTAGATGATACCTCTAGGCAAAATTAGTAGACTGATATCTTTAGAGGATATCCATAGACTGTCTCTATAGACAATTCCTCTAACATAACAGACTTGCAAACCAACTAGCCCTCGACTTAGCATTTTCCTCACGACTCATAGTCAACCACACCAGCACCCGAGTGACATAGAATACTTAACATACTAGTGTAGACAGGCCACTGTAGTCGCTTAATACGCCTATTAGCTGCTTACCTACACTGCTAAGTATCTTATGTCACGCATGTGCCAGCGGTGACCACTTATCTGAATCTATCCACTCAACATTTTTTTTTTCGATCTTGGTACCTGAGAAGATTTGAGCACGACTTCCACACATTCCTAGCAGAGAATAACGGAACTAGCTTACGTTCCTTCCAGCAGAAAACGAGGGCAACGCCCGGCCTCAAACTTCACCTCAACTCCATATCTTCGAACAGTCGAGAACTTTCGCTCCGCGGATATGCACTTTCCACATCTTCATGCACGATCATAAGTACGCGCCACGCTGTAATGTGGTGGACCTTCCATGACATGCAGCATCCACATTCACCACGCCCAGACAGAGGCGCATCCAGAATTTGGAAAAAAGAAAAATATCGCATCTACATTTAGAACCGCATACCGTATACTCAAATCGCACACACACCGCTAGTAACACAGTACCTAGGTACCCATAAGATCATCCCATAACCCCCCGTGATGCAGACAACGCCACGGGCTCCACTCCTTCACCCCCCTAACTTCCCCAGCCTCAGGCTTCATGCTCAGCTTTCTCTCGACTTCCCACTCGCCCGATCCAAATGATCACGCGATCGCTACACTGCGAAACTTCCCGCTGACACCCGGTGATCCGATCTCATCACCACCCGCCCAACCAATCCGACCGAATTAAAGCTTCATCGGCCTGGCTAGCCCCATGTTTCAGCAGCCGCTGCATTGTTCCATCCCGTGCCAAATGCGTCAGTGCTCCGAAGAAAAGAAGTCGCATAATGTACTTGCACTGTTTCGGGCATTTAATCCGCGGGGGTATGCTTGGGGTGGCATTGTGGGGTGGTGGTGATATGCGATGGTTGATGGTGTTATAGGAGGACGTCGGGTAAATTTGTTGTGAGAAGATGAGGTGTCTGGGGGATGATGGGTGAGATTAGTAGATTGTTTTATGTGTTTATTATGATTATCTATCTACCTACGTGTGAAGAGTAGTGAGAAAGTGAGTGTGGGTGAGGGAGGAGAAAGGAAGCTACCAAGGCACAGGCGCACCATCGTATCTATAAAACTTCCCAGAATCCGAATCTTTGAGCCCATTAATCACGTCTAGCATACTTCCGACGCTTACTTCAGGTTCGATCATTGCGCCTTTACCGCCCATTCGTGTCTTGACCTAAATCAATTGTCAGCCATATATTCTTTGCAGTTGAGAAGACGGAAAAGAAACTCACCCATCCCGGATCCATAGTAATAACCCTCACCCCGGCAGCCTTCAAGTCCTTGGCTTGATGCAAGGTCAACATGTTCAAAGCCGCCTTACTCATGCTATACGTGCAGCACTTTGTAACATCCGTCGCCACCGTTAGCGACCCCAATCCACTAGACATATTCATCACCGTCGCACCTCTCGCAAGCCACCTCTTTAGACTTTGCACAATCTTCGCGGGCCCCATTACATTCGTCTGCATATGCTCGTTCAGGCTCTTGGGGTCCAGCGTCAGCGAGGTATCACTGCTAGTAGCATTGATGCCCGCCACATTGAAGATGTAGTCTAGGTTACTACCGGACTTTGTTAAGATCTCGGCGACACGGAATTCGAGGCCAGAAAGCGAGTCTAGGCTGCCGACATCGCATTCAACAATGTGAATGTTGGAGTGCGTGTTTAAAGCTTCTAGGTCGGATAGATCAGCTGACTTGCTGCGTACGCCTGCGATGATCGTATTGTTTGATTTGGCGGCGAGTTGGCGTACAAATTCCAAGCCGATGCCGCGGTTGGCGCCTGTCAGAAAGTATGTTGCCATTTTGCGGGGTGCTCGGACGCGGCCACGTGAGGATAAAGCGGCTTTTTTGGGCTTGGGGGAAACGATGATGACTTGGTGGGAGATGGGAGATGTGTTGCTTAGAGGGAGCGGGGGACTGATATGACGATGTGTTGTTGGATTTGGACTTTGCCGTCGTACCGGGGAAGCGGGGTGTGGACGTGAAAAGTTGAGAGATCGCTGGGATCGCGTGGATGAAGTGCTTCGTCTCCGCGGAAGCGCTACTGCGGTACTGCTGCTATTGCTGTTGGTGTGTTGTCGTGTATGCTGCATGTGGTCTACTTCCGCCGGGTAAATCATCGCGTGGGGTGACGTCGTTGGTAGCATCGATCTGAACATGGTTGCGTTTAAAGTGGGGAGGAGGTTTTTGAAGAAGAAACCTGAGTTTTGGGGGACTACATCCTCCTTCATGTACTGGATGATGAATATTTGTATACATGCACGCACCACCTGTTCGCTTGAAAAGCTCCGCTTACCAGGCCTATAATACGGGTTAAGGACTGTCAGATCCGTCATTTCTGTTACAAGGGTGTTTATGCGAACCGGGGTGACAACCAAAACGAGTTTGCTGTGTTATGCCCGCGCGTCTTTTGTGTTTCAGACAGCTTGTACTTGGCTGCTGCTCGTACGACTAGTGTTTGTGGTGGGGACCGAGTGCTTATGAGAGGGGTACGTACTCTTGTTATATCGACTGCAATTATAATGCGATGGCCACGAACAATGCCGCTCACGACACTCATTCAGATCCCGCATGCAAATTACTTGGGGCAGCCATGAGGATTTCCAGAAAAAAAAATCCGTGATCACATGTATTATTACTATGTTGTTTGTGGGATCTCGTCAATTACCATTACTACACCAGATACACGTCATATCCATAATCATCCTGTCCAACTTTTGCGGTCCCCAGTTTTTGCAACTGCCTGACTCGCAACAGTTACATTGTTTTGGTCATTGCTGCTCGATCGATCCTGCGATAGCCTAGCATGCTAGCTGCTACAAGGTTCAACCTGGCACGACTGCCCTGCACTTAATCGTACTCATTCGACGTGGTTAATCTTTCGCTTCTCGCTTGCGCCTTTGATAATGCTGGATAAATCGACGACTGCGGATGTTAGCAACGTATGACAAATACTCATATGGCTTGAACTTACGAGGCAGGTCAAGCGGGAAGTCGACACTGGCCAGCATGATGGCGAAGAAGATGTACCAGCCGCATAAACATGCAACAAAGCAGAATGCACCAGCAGCTTCAGCAAGCTTCTTGGCCCAGATTCGCGTCACCCGTGGCGACCTTGAAGTAGCTACCGGCGAGGAGCATGAAAGCGGGCACGAGAGTGAAGAAGATGAGGAAGAAGATCAGGTTGGTACGGATGGAGCAGATTAGGTAGATGAAGCATAGAATGCCCATCATGATCAGGAAGTATGCTATGTGACTGTCAGAGCCACATCATCAGGTCATTGCGCATGACTTACCAATACCAACGTTGAAGCCCCGAGACTCAAGACCCGTGCTGTTTTCCACACCTGGCTGTGCGTATGCGCCGTATGCGTTGTAGAAAGGCTGAAGAGTTGCGGCAAAACCAAGCCAGAAGGCGCCGAAGGAGGCGAAGACAACAAAGGGGAATGTGTTTCCAAGAATCCACTGCTTCGGGTCAGCATTGCCTATTGAGTAGAGTCTCGATCACACATACTTCACCAATACCTCCGAGTATCATGAGTAAACCACCTGCGAAGTAATACCAGCCGATACTTGCTGAACCACTACCTCCAGCGCCTCGCCATCCCATAAGTGTCATGCTCAATGGATGGAGTGAGAGTATGAAGCCGATAAGCGCACTACTCTTATTAGTGCCTCTTGTCGAATGGAAGTTGGCGGAGGATCGTACATCGGAGTCGGGTTACCAAAAGTCTTACGCAGCTCGCCTTTCACCTGGTTTTGGGGCGATAGGTATAATTTCTCGAAGAGCTCGGGCGAAATAGAGATGCTTCCTGCTGTTCGAATCTGATGGAGCGCAGTACCAGAGTCTACCGAGGCATCGAGGTGCCCATGTCCGTTGTAGCCATTCCCTAGGAGCAATTAGCAACAAGAGACGTCAAAATCAAATGAGTATCTCACCATTTCCTTGTATGAAGTCCTTCTCCAAAGCATTCTGGCTGTCCATCATTCTCGTAGTTGACTCGTTTCTTGCTGTCGAGCCGGCTGATAGAGTCTCTGCGTCTCTTGCTGTAGTCGCGCCGAGGTGTGCGTCGTTGGTCGCGTACTTATGCTCGTGATCTCCGTGCATACTGGCCGAGCACAATTTAAAACACGCCTCTAGTAGAATTGGGACTAGATACAAGTTGTCGTGGTACGATATTGGGCTGAAGAAACCGTTGCAGCTACCGAGGTCGAAGCCGGACGTAGGGAGCTAGGAGGCTGGAATGATATAGGGACACGAGCTCACGACTCGGACAATGGCTAACGTCGCTACTCCGCAAACTTTCCTACTGGAGGTGCGGATATGAATTCCAAGAAGGCATAGGCGCGGAAAAACGTGAGCGATCAGCATCAAGCGTGCGGAAGGAGTAGCCTGTCATCCCAGTAAGGCAATAACCTGGGGACCAACCGCTGCGGCTCCGCGTTGGACGTGATGCAGGTGTTCGGATTGGCGGGAGGGCAGATCTGTCTAGACTAGAGATTACTGGGCATCTTGGGTTTGATTCGTTAAGCCAAGAGGAGTACAGCCAGTGTTGCGGACGTGGCTTCCTTGACGGTGCACCCCTGGAGACGGCTTGGGCACATGGTGCAGCCATTGTGGGTGATAGCATTGAGGGTGATAATCACACCTTCTAAGACGCCACCACCTTACATGTATTGAGAAGTGCAATTGGCACAATTGCGTCTCAGGGTAGGCAAGAAAACAGCCTGTCTTCCATTGTGTCATGGTAAACTTCTGGTGTTTTTGTGAGATGGCTTCAATCGAGTCTCACCGCATGATAGGCAAACCCTCGGCAACAGTGACCCTAGAAGGCCGATAACGATGATGGTGCAATGTCGGGATCCGGATCGGCCATGTTCCTAAGCACTCAGCCAGTGAAGAATCATCACCCCCATGGATTGTTGCGGAGTCGGGTGGGGAAGAGGCACACGAGGGCTGGGGAAGGATTTGAGCCTAGACTTTGGAGCTAGTCGATCGTCGGGCTAGGTATAATGACTGGGGTTGAATTTGCGGGGAAGGCGTGCTAACGACGCTAGTACCGGACACATGGCGCAAACATTAATTCCGGACGTCATGTAAAGTACGGCACCTCAAAGCCGCACGCAAGGGATAGTTAGTGCGCCTTCTTGGTAGTCATCGGCCAAAGACGCGATCAGCTCACGTCGTCGTGAAACGGTGTGGAGCGGAACTTTATCATAAGATGGCCCAGTGCTCTCACTTCTATCCAGAGAGTAGATAGACCGGACCGATTCGTTGAATTTGATGAATAAAGAAGGCCGGCTTCCCCGGTAAAGCTGTCACGGGACGATGAGTTTCTATGTGTCTGTGTCTCCCCACCGAGGATTGCGTCGTGTCATGGGATGTGGTTGACCGTTGACCGGTGTTATGGAGCGTTTGGCGAGCAGCCCGCGCTCATCCGAGGAGGATCGGAAAGAGCTACTACGGGTGGGGCGGGCATTTTCCGCGCTCGACGCTGGATAGGACCACCATGAGGTGACTTTTGGACTTGAAGGCGAACTCCAAAAGCCAAAAAGAACAATGGGCTGCAGTTCAGCAGTAGTTGTCAAACGGCACCGAGCCCATGGTCGACCCAATCGTGTTATCTCGCAAGGTCGGCCAATGCCAATCATGCTCACCCCCCCCCCCCCCCCCAATTTGGTATCCAACATCCGTGCCGATCGACATGGAGGAATTTTCAGGGCCAGGGATGGACAAGGTCAACACGTTTCCAGGACACATACCGTATCTTTTCGTAGACCCGTGTTCAAGCAGACCGTATTTCAGCGAAGCTAGTGGCTTGTTACGTATTCTCCTGATGGGAAAGCCTAGTAAAAGGCGGATTGCAGTGCTCATATTGGTCCAAATATCCCGTTTGTCAGGGTGAGGGGAGAACAAGTAAAGCAGCCAGCTAGTCCATTGATCATGCTCACCTCATAGGGTCTTGGAGCACGGTATGAATGTATAATTCATGCATAGCATATCGGCCTTTGTTCACGGCTCTACGCTCCACCAACTTCCTCGACGACTTTCTTCAGGTTGTGCATGTCATGGGCGAAACGACCTAGGAACAAGCCATCGACGCCTTCGGCAATCTTGGCAAAGGTGCCTGGCCCAGCGCTTCCCCCGTAGACGATTCTTGTGACTCCTTTCCTACCTGCAGCCATCTTCCTCAGCTCTTTTGTCACGTTGACTACGTGGTCTGCATCAGCAGGCTCTTTTGCGCCAATGGCCCACACAGGCTCATAGGCCAGTATAACCTCAGTATCGTCGGGCACTGCAGCAAGCACTGAAGTGACTTGTGGCCTACACTCTTGTATCGCTGCACCGACAGCTGCTGATGCGACAGAATGATGAGTCTTCTCGCCAATGCACACCAGCGGTATCAGCCCGTTCCTCGCTGCAGCGCCCGCTTTGTTCGCAACCGTCTCGTCCGTCTCACCGAACATGGCTCTCCGCTCCGCGTGTCCAATTTCTACTATCCTCGCACCCACCTGCCGTAGCACAAGCGGGCTGACTTCTCCTGTGTACGCGCCCTTGTCTTCCCACATACAGTCTTGGGCGCCAAGCATGATGGACGAGGATTCGAGGATGCGGGCTGATTCGGCGAGGGAAACGAAGTCCGGGATGACGAAGAGGTCTATGCGCGCGTTCCAGGCATCGCCGTCAAGCTGCAAGACGCCGCGGACGTAGGAGAGGGTGCTGGGCAGGTCAAAGTACATCTTCAACGAGACGCCGACGATGCGACGGGGCCGCGTGATGGGTGGCATCATGGCAATTCGCAAATGTCCAGGTCAATGTGTACGTATACGTGTGCGTCGGGAATGTCAATGAGTTTGTCTACAAACAATGGAGGAGAGCACGTCTTCAGAGCAGTCTTGATTGTCTTGAGTGCGCAACCATGATGATCCGGATTGCCGCATCGGGCCAACCCGCAAATAAGTAAGAAACCACCTGCAGCCGCAATCGGTGGAGGATGTGGGACAGGCAGGCTCCGAACGTGGGGCAACACCACCACATGCGAATGCCACATTATAACTTCAACAGCCTGCTAGAGCGTCTGCAGCATCGTCTATGATGAAGCGCGTTAACCACACCTTACGTATGCAATGTCGCACTTGAATCGGCGCCAGAATAGGCATGTCACGCCGAAAATGCACCTTGCTTGGCAGGGCTCCGATTGTTACTCCGGCTGCTCATCGGCCTCTGCGCTAACCCCTTCTTAATCGACTGACCGCTAGAGAAAACTCCACGTCAACCTATCACTCTCCTCTTTGCTCACTGTCAAACCGTGAGGGACAACAGTGGTACATGTCGCGGACACTTGCTGATCGCTGGGCTCGCAAACGATACTTTGGATAGCTTGTGGGCGGCCAAAACGCAAAAGAAGGCAATACGCAGCATCCTTGCTAATCCCGCTCAGAACTCATCGCGGGGTGCATAGTCAGATAGTCCGCTCAGAACTTTTCTTTTCGATCATTCCCGCAGTTTCTTTTTCCATCATATTTCCTCTTGTAACCGCCGACAATGCACATCTCCAAGAAACTCACCCAGGCAAGGGAGGAGGGAAAGCCAACCTTCTCCTTTGAATTCTTTCCACCAAAGACCGCGCAGGTACACTACAATCTCATGTCTTAGAAAGCCATATGCTGACTACAATCAGGGAGTCCAAAACCTCTACGACCGCATGGACCGCATGCATGGCTTCGGTCCACAATTCATCGACCTCACATGGGGTGCGGGCGGCCGCCACTCCAAGTTGACATGCGAGATGGTAAAGGTCGCCCAAACCGTCTACGGTCTCGAGACCTGTATGCACCTCACATGTACCGACATGGAGAAGTCCAAGCTCGACGACGCCCTTCGCGAAGCCTACCAATCTGGCTGCACAAACATTCTTGCCCTGAGGGGAGATCCGCCGCGGGAACGAGAGAAGTGGGAAGCAACTGCTGGTGGCTTCCGCTATGCAAAGGATCTGGTCGTATACATCAAGGAGAAATATGGAAACCACTTCGACATTGGTGTGGCAGGATACTCAGAGGGCAGTGATGACAATGACAATGTCGACGAGCTCATCGACCACTTGAAGGAGAAGGTTGACGCCGGAGGAACCTTTATCGTGACCCAGATGTTCTATGATGTCGACATTTTCCTTGAGTGGGTGAGGAAAGTTCGCGCGAAGGGCATTGACGTTCCCATCATCCCTGGTATCATGCCAATCCACACGCACGCAGCCTTCCTACGAAGAGCGCAGTGGACCAGGTGCAACATCCCACAACATTGGACCGATGCCCTTGAACCTGTAAAGAATGACGATGTCGAAGTGCGTGAAGTCGGCAAGATGCTGGTCGCAGACATGTGCCGGAAGCTGATTGCTGCTGGTATCACGCATCTGCATTTGTAAGTTCTCCTGGCCTGACATGTACTGCATGATTGCTTACTCAACACAGTTACACGATGAACCTTGCACAAGCCACGCGCATGGTCCTCGAAGAGCTAGATCTCCTACCAGACGTCGAGGCGCCATTGGAGAAGCCTCTCCCCTGGCGACCCTCTTTGGGTCTCAACCGACGCGACGAAAACGTACGTCCCATTTTCTGGCGCAACCGCAATCGATCCTATGTCGCACGTACACAAGATTGGGACGAGTTTCCCAATGGCCGCTGGGGAGATTCGCGCTCTCCGGCCTTTGGTGAATTGGACTCTTATGGCATTGGTCTGAAGGGCACCAACGAGCAGAACGTAAAGCTATGGGGATCACCCATGTGTATCAGAGATCTGTCCGATCTCTTCGTGCGTTATATGGAAGGAAAACTGGATTCTTTGCCCTGGAGCGAACAGGCCATCACGACTGAAGCCGGGCCCATCCGCAGTGACCTGATTGATTTGAATCGTCGCGGGTTTCTAACCATCAACTCGCAACCTGCTGTCAACGGTGCCAAGTCATCAGACCCAGTGTTTGGCTGGGGTCCCCGTAACGGCTACGTCTATCAAAAGGCGTATTTGGAGGTCTTTGTCTCTCCGGAATACATCTCCGAGATCATCACTCGTCTGGAGCGCGATCCCGAGTTCACATACTACGCAGTGAACAAGGATGGAGACTTGAAGACGAACGCACCCAATGAAGGACCCAATGCCGTAACATGGGGTGTCTTCCCGGGCAAAGAGATCGTACAGCCGACCATTGTCGAGACGGTCAGCTTCCTCGCTTGGAAGGACGAGTTCTACCGCCTCGGTCAGCAGTGGGCGAACTGCCATGCTGGTGTAAGCCCTTCGCGTTACGTTATTCAGGACATCGTGGACACATGGTACCTGCTCAATATTGGTGAGTATCCTCTCTAACGACGTACAGCCCATTATCTAACTAACCCTCTAGTACATAACGACTTCCACGAGACCCGTGGGATCTTCCCCATCTTCGACGGCCTAGAGGTCAAGGACATGGATAAGCCACTGCACAACCCTAGCGTTGACCTCCCTGGAGTCAACGGTACCGAGTCGACAAACGGAACCAATGGCACGAATGGTGACGCTGAAGCTCCAGGCTTGATCGAGACCGCCAAAGCAGCAGCTGTTGAGGTCACGAATGGTATAAAGAGCCTGGCTGTCTCCAACTAAACCTATCTGGTGTTAGACGATGTGCAATCTTACTGCTTTCAACACGGCAAGACTGTTTCATTTTCGGCGTTTTGATTTTCGGACATTTCTTCAGATGTCTCCACTAATGGTATGGTGTACAACACCAGAGGAAGCGGCTTTCCACTTTCAACAGTATCCCGCAAGTTTCGGGCCTTGATCTATCTGGTGGTAATTTCGAAGTTTCTCGGAGTTTCGTGGTCTATCTCTATTTTACTTTATCTCTATCTCAACAACAAGCGCGTGACACATTGCACAGCGCATGTGTCGGAGCATCTGGGAGGCGTCTATTCAACCCGACGACCGTCGCAAAAGTCCATGTAGTGCAACAACCTCAAAAGTTCGATGGCATTAGTGTAGGACTTAAGATGACGGAATGAGCTTTTTAAGATACCCGACTGCTGCCCTCAACGGCAGTGGTCAACTTTTTCACTCCAATTAAACATTGACATTCCAGTAGAATCATACACTAGATGCTAGACTCCTTTACCTGTGTCTGCTTTTTGTACAATGCCTATGTTTCTCCAATGCTTTCGGCTCCCGAATCGGCTATCTTCCTACACTTGGGCCTGTGTTTGTTATGCATCCTGCATCCAAGGTTCGTGAAAGGTGGCGAACTTCCGAGTCATGCCAGTTCACATTCAAAGTCACGTGTCGGGGCCCACTTACTATTCACAGCAAAGCGTCCTTACTACAAAAGGTCGTTTGTTGGCCATTCCGTCCCACGAATTTTCCAACACTCATCAACCTACAAAGATTAGTTATTGGAAATAATGGAACCAGTACCGCATTCAAGGCCGGACTGGGATCCCAGATACAATTTCATTCGCTAGTGCGTACACAATTCTTATCTTAGTCAATCTTTCTAACTTTCCTAGTGCGCAATGGTACAATGCTGAATTAGATACGAGGTGGGTAGTATTGCTATACTGAAGATGAGATTACCGTTAACGTTATGCAGAGTCAAGCAGCTAGATGATTGGATTGCTGCGTTGAAGCAGGAGCGGCAATCACTATTGTATACGCGACAACTACCGCACTGGTGCGTACCGAACCTTGCCTACAGACGGCCGATAAAGCTTACAATCACGTAAAGCAAACAAGATATTTTGTCCTACTCGCAAGCTTGGCATCGTCAGTTCACGAAAAGGATGAACGAACGTCTTCCCCGCGAGATCCGAAATATGATTTGGACGGATTACGTACGTATAGGCCAAAAAGATTATACCGGTGAATCGCTCTAGCCTATGCGAACAGCATGGGGGAACGCTTCTGATCGGTTTAAAAATTGTCCGGAGTTGCATAGATCCAAGCCGAATGCCCACAAAAAATGGTCATGCTTCCCACCTGTTATACGACGAGAATTCGTGGACGTCGATACAGCACGGGAGGTCGTCGAGGCTTGGTACAAGGACTGGCATTTCAAAACACATATGGGGGTAGATCTCTATCGCATTATCCTCATGGACGTATTCAACCTAAATGTTGATACCGCGGCAGTATTACGAAAACTTTCGTTAAGCGGGGGCATGGCAGATTTTGCAGATTATAGACAATCTCCCGACGTTCCGAAACAAGCTAGAGTTTTACGTCTGCTAGAGATGTTATACAAGATCAAACGAAAGCAAGGCTTCCGTCTTGACATTGACGTCACACAAACAAGTATTCGACTCAACGTCTGGCATGCCTTCGTCTTCGAACCGTATAGGGATCTGCTGCACGATTTCGAAAGCGAAGGAGCGATTGTAACTATCCGCTTTAGCTATTGCAGCGGCAGGAAATGGCATGAGACAAAATACCCACACGCTGTCGGATTTGACATTACAGACTTGGTTAGACACCACGATCCGGAAACATGGAAGATTGGAGTCATAGAGAAACTCAACCAGGTATGCGAACTCATTTCATTCATCTCTTCCTTTATCATTCAATGGCAACCTTCCATGGTAACGCTGACCTTTAGTATAAAAATACTGTCATCATGGCCTGTCATAGAGACTATCTTATCGAAAATAGACCTGACTATGAATACAATCGCTGGCGAAACATTCCAATTATTTGAATTGACGCTGAGAATGATAAGGAATTCAAATGTCTGTATGTAGCTTCTGAATATAGCACATAGCCAGACCTACCGACAACATGCAAACTTTCTTTTGGAGAAACTTCTTCACTGACCCCGCTCTTCACATCACGGCTTTACCCCGGGTAATCGCAGGGCTTGGCTTGACATGAATGTGCTTTTATTCCCCAGATAGGCAGCCTATGATGCATCCCTCGCAATCACACAAGACCCATACTTTACACACATGTAACCTTTCTGTTTCTATAATCCCCTCAGAAGAACGCGAGCCTGTGATGACGCTCCCAGACCACCACATTAAAACGGCGATAAATTCTATACCACCTAAACTATAGTCCCAAATAGGGTACACTTCGTAACGCAATGCTGAAAATCCAGCCGGAGAGAGAATATATCATGAGTGATGAGTGCTCTCATATAATACTTCCAATTCCTACAAAGCAGAAATATGCATAATCTACACCAAGACATTGATTCGCCAAAGGAAAAAGGTGCCACCCCGTACGCACTAAGATACAATACACAAAACAGCAACCTCCGCGCAGTTTTTTTCATCGGGCAAAGTAAACCGCGCCGTGACTACCCAAATAACTTCTGCATTTGCGAAATTTTCCATTTTTCCAGTCGAGATCACAAGTTCCCAACTTCAAAACACCAGAAACCCCACATACTTTTCCCCACCAACGTTCTCACAGAACATGCGGATCCACCTCGACGATAGGTCCTGCATACGACTTCTTCGCAAAAATCAGATAGTAAACGACACTAAACAACGCCACACTCCCTGTCACAACCCCCGCCCAGTTCATATGTACCAAATCGGGGCTGACCTGGCTGGGCCAAAAGCTGAAGAAGATGATAAGCATGAGATAGCAAATGGCAACAACATTATTCGCTACACCCAGCGCGCCCTTAAGGCGCCAGGGCCCCCACGTCAAGCTGCGGTCGTAAGCCTCGTCGACGTCTGCGCCGTTGAAAATGGTGAGGGAAGAGTCGGGGTTATCGAGGTCGCCGCGGAGACGGCGCCAGAGGAGCAGGCCAATAGCAAGCAGGTAGGATAGGTAGAAGCCTTCAAGGACGAGGGAGATTGTGCCGTTGAAAGCGGCGCTGTTGCCGATGTTGATGAGGGCGAGAAGGGCGGCGAATACGGTTACGACGAGGATAGCAATGACGGGGATGGTGCTTCGTTTGTCGATCTGGGAAATTTGGGTTAGCAAATAGGGTTGGGGGATGGTGGAAGGAGAGAGTGACATACGATGCTGAGGGCCCGGGAGAAAGGGAGGCCGCGGTCGCGGGCAAAAGACCATGTCATGCGAGACGCGGCGGCCAAACAGCCCATTGCACTGCAGAATTCTAGGAGGACAATGATTGATACCATGATGGTGGCGCCCAATTCGGATCCAACGGCGTGGCTGAAGATGCGGAGGAAAGGGGCAGTTGGTGCATCGACATCGCTGAGCAGTTGTGGGATGTCGTGCGCGCTGAAGAGAACCGCGAGAAGCATGCCTAGTGCCAGAGTGCCGTTGATGACGAGACTGAGTAGCATTGATCGTGGGACGTCTGTGCTTGCGTTCTTGACTTCTTCCGACATCTTTGTTCCTATTAGCTGAGTACCTGGAAATGTATACATGTTGGGACTTACGTGTACAACCGAATCCGTCCCAACAAATGCCAGCGCGTTGCCTTGTAGACCTACGAAGAAGGCAAGTGTCTGAGTGCTCCACGCTCCTTCATTGTGAAAGGTCAGGAAGATCTCCTTGGCCGAATTGTGCGTGGGCGACAGGTAAACCAGAGGAACAAGAATACCGAAGAAGCCAAGAATATGCACGATCAAGACGACGACTTCGATGGTAGGTAGTGCTCCGCTAATGAAAACGTTGATGCAGACACACAGGAGCAATATTGCCCATAAGAGAAGTGTGCCATGCCACCCTTCTCTATGATAGCTACCTGAGTTCAGACTGACAAGCTGCAGGATCAGGTCGGAGACGAAGTAGCATACGGAAGTGAGTGCGGCAATCCAGCCAATCACGGTAAGCCAGCCTGAGAACGTTAGTAATTGACAATACATGCGGTGCTTCATTTACCAGTTAGGTAGCTGAAGAACTTCTTGTTCGATCGCGGCGCAAGCAGAGAAACCCAATGGTATTGGCCTCCGGCTGTTGGAACGGCACTTGCAAGCTCTCCAATGCAAACAAAGACAGAAAAGTTTCCGAGCCATATGAGTATGAAGCCGTAAATCAAGCCAGCAGGTCCGCCGCTGTGTTATGGTCAACAATGCTGGTGGACGCGGTGGACGAAGACATACTTGGTGAAGCCTATGGAGAAAATGCTACCGTGACGTCAGCAAGTTACTTTGCATCAAGCATGTACACTTACACAAGCAGAGTTTCCCAAGTGCACATTAACCCACAGGAAAGACCAGTCATGGATACCAGTCCAAAGCGGCGCTAATTTGATTAGACGTGTAGATACCTCTTCAAAAGCATAACACACCTTCAGGACCTGCTCCTTTCCCACTCTCGCAAGCTCATACCTGTCGCGATCAAACCCCTGGCCTTTTGAGTCGGATACGGAGTTCTTGCCCCTGACCCGGAGGCTATCATCGTCGAAAGTCTGTAGGTTGATTCGTTTTTCCATGGCTCTGATCAAATGATCCAACTTGGTGAATGATGAACAACGATACGTATAGAAGGTCAATTGGTAGTAACGCGTGCCGAGCAGCAAGCGAGCAGATTGGGATAGAAAGATTGATACCAGGAAAGGGGACGGTGATACACGACACATGCAATGCAAGTCAATCTCGATATATACTCCCTCCAAAGGTAACGTAAGCCATGTGCGTCGGCAAAGACGGAGAGAAGGCCAGGAGGCGGCTGCTCGGCAATGTAATCAAGCGTAGGAAAGACATACGCTAAGCCGAACGTTATGCACCGTAAAGGCAGTTGTAGGCTCTCTGCAGTGACGGCGGCATCTCTGCATATCACACTGCAGTGGTGGTGTCAGGGAGAGGTCCCCCAATTTGAGCTGTTGATTGGTGCGCTCGTTGCACCATTGGGCTGCCGAAGCTGCAAAAAGCGGTGGCATGCATAGTTACGGATCCCTTGCTCGCATGTCTTCCAGGTGGCAGAGGCAAAGTGACATATTCTCCGATCGTCATCGTGTGTCGGTCGACCAGCATGCACTATACGTGGAAAATGCAAACACAGGCCCGCTTGGGCGTTTGGGCTGCGCATACATCTAGCAGGAGGGCGTCCGCCATGTCCGTACCAGGCCAAAGGCCCAGTGAAACCGTCCAGGGACCGTTGAGATCAGAGGAAGGGACATCGTCAGATCATGTCTGCGCGTGTCACTCAACGTGCAACAGCATCTCACCTGGTATTGGCGTGGAGTAAAGTGGCAACAACAACGGCTGTCATACCGGTACAATCGAAAGCAGAGGCCCTCCCGCAAATTAGTCGTGGTACAAGTGTGGATACGAGTGTAGAAAACGCCGCTGGGTTGAGCGGTGGTTGGGAGAAGAATGAAGGGAGATGTGGGCCAGAAGTATGTGGTACGCTAGTTTCGTCACAGCCCACGTGGGGACTCGTCCCACTTGCCCAATCCATGCTTGTGGATTTTCAACGGCTATCAAACGCATCCGCATTGTCTATATCCGTGGCTCGACACGAAGTTCGCGCATTAGCGAAATCTGCATATGTATTGCCTGTATGGACGAGAAGCAGGTTGCCGAGGTCGTTCCATTCACGGCCCAAAAACCTGCACGTTTCAGCGTGACTCTTCGTCATTACACCGCAACCAGGAACCTGCGCAGGTGTATTCCTCGCGTGTTGCAGGCTTCTTGTCTCTCCACAACAAGTGCCGCCTCTGGCGTTGGCCCATCGCGACCCCTCGCAGCACGCGTGGAACCGGTTCTTCCAGACATAGTACGGTACCAGAGCCCAATCCGGCACACGGCGTCTTGTTGAATGGAGCAAGCGCGACTCTAACTATGTGTCGTGAATGTGCATTGGGTGAAATCTTGCTCGATGATGGGCTCAAATGCCCTTTTCTTGCCCGCGGCCTATAAGTGGCGTGAAATGCACAGGTTGCGGCCGTATGGCAAAGCGATTGCGAAAGTGGGATGGCGATGTTACCTTGAGACAAGAAAGATGCATGCATTATCGAGATGGAGAGGTACGTGTGAGCCACTATGGTGTCGTGGAAGCCCGCCGCTACTGTGGTGACTGGACCGCTGATACACGTGAACCACGCGGTCTATTCCGCATTGAGGAGCCACATTGACTGCCTTATCATGGATTTGCAGGCATCGATACGTGGCCGTGGCTGCCAGGTCAGACGGCGGGTACGTTGGAGGATAACAGAGAATATATCATCATAATGCATTGATAGTTCCACAAGGCATTCCAATCCAAGCAAACCTAGCATTCTCAGCGACCTCAACGCATCACCTCAATCTCATCATATGATCCCTCAGGACTCTTAACCTCCGCCTCTTCCCATTCTGCGCTCACAACCGTAGTCTTAAGGATTTTAGAATGACTGCCTGTACTTGCAGTCTCCCATCGCTTGTCATCCCATCGCTTCTCGTCTCCATTCTTGTGGTGCACAGCCGTTATCTCTACGTCCATCGCGCCATCAAGGCGTCTTGGACCTCCGGGTATGCCCGATGCCGAATTCGCGTGTGTTGTCTTTTCCTGCGAGAGCATAGGGAGGAAGCGTTTCATTCCGCCGCCTTCGGCAAGGCCCTTCCTACTATTCCTTGTGCCGACACCTCTGGAAGTGCTGCTCGAAAGCTGATAGGAGCCGCTCTTGCTACGTGAGTAGCCGTGCTCCGAAGATGTGCCTCGGCGTCTGAGTTCGTCGGTTCCGTATAGACCTGAAGGAACAGACTCAAGAAGCGGGCGGAGGTAGGGGACGCACGACGTGAGTATGGTGATGCATTCGGTGATTTGCGTGATAAGTGTCCACTTCCAGAGATCTTTGGTTGGATTGGGCGAGTCGAAGCCGGAGAGATATACCATTTGAACTGCGGTTGCTATGATGTCTCTGCAACTTGTAAGCTTGTTGGAACTAACGACATTAATCAAACAACATACAGTGACCGTGCACCAAAAAAGGTGAGTATGGTGACCTTCTTGTTCATGCTCATCTGCAACGTCATGATGACATGCACTGGAAACAAGATCAGTGCAAGGTCAGTGACGATGTTAAGCACACCCATGCATTGCCAGAATGAAGTCTGAATACTTTGTCAGTAGCCATGTGGTGAATCAGTATGATAACATACGATGTGAAAGCACCTCTCGCCCACACCATGGAAGCGCCATGGTTCGGTGTTGCCGCACTGGAAAGCTGATACGATTCCGGACATGATGCCCCAGAGCGCAATGAAGCAAGTTAACCCAAGCCCGAGGTTGCGGTGAAATTTGGAGGCAGTGAGTATCATGAGTAGCGAGATGATGGAAAGCTTTGCCAACGCCAATGTGGTAATGTAGAGCATTTTATTCGCATAATCAGCCTTCAATTTGATTAGTCAAGTTAACTCCAGCTGAAGTGCGCGACAGTGCTTACTTTCTGATACACCACCATCTGATTCTCGGTCAGCAACGAAACGTCTCGACCGAGACCACTCGCCGTCTGAACACTGACAGCTGCGCCAGAGCCAATGCTTGTGATCTGTGTATCAAAAACATCAGCACAGCATGAAAAGAGTGGCTTAATGTTTACTGAACGCACCAGGGCCAGCACTACAAATGTATCATCAACATCAAAACTCCTTCTTAGCGCACGCTTCGTGATGAGTCTAGTCAAAACCGCCAGCGCTGATGTTATCAATAGAATCCAAGTAACGACATCGACGAACGGGCCAACATCCGCGTTGCTTCCTGGCTGACGTGGTATGGGATGATGGGAAGAAATGAATGGAGTCGCCATTATCGCATCTTGCGTGGTCAAGAATAGAATATCAGCGGGGCGACCAACAATAGTCAGAAAGCCCTCAATATCTTTTCGGTATCAGGATCAGCGCAGTCGGAAGGACACCGGTTGACCAGTAGTGGCAAACGATATCAAACGGCAAGTATGTATGATCACCGAGCCTCACAAACGCCCCCACACATCAAGAGCGGCATGGCGTGCAAGAAATGTAAGGTTGCGAGAGATACAATTGAGGTGCACCAACCAACGCTGTGCACAACGACGTTTATCCTCCCTTGGTTGAAAGACCGGGACACTTGCAAGCGATCGTATCGTACGTGTGCGAGTCCTGGACCCTTAGAGAGGTCTTGTACCGCGTTGCGCAAGCGTTCTGAAGTGTTATGCAAGAATGACGGCTTGTGGGTGGACGAACAATGGGAAAATCGTTTGCAGCCAATCTCGTACCACGGCTTCCGGCGCGTTGATGGTCTAGGTGCATGAATAGACAAATAGTAGGGACATCTCAAGCCCCTCGGGAGAATCGTATCGACTGAGACAGACTTCTCGACCCGCGATCGCTCGCTAGCCTACTTTGAGGCCTACTAATCTCGGTACGACTTTGTGGCACGTCAATCTCGGCACTGTGTCACCGCAGCTGTTACCGAAAAATTGAAAGGCGGTTGTGCACCCACGTTGTGAAACACATGCCAGCACACATCTTGGACGATGTTCAATCAATATGCGAGGTTGCAGTCGGGCGGCCGCTTCAGTAGCGGCGCTACCCATCACATGATGACTGCTCACAGTTAGATGCATAAAACATCCGGTGAAACACAGCAAAGGCGGGTGTAGCTTGGAAATGACGCGCGGAAGAAGACATGAATGTGATGCGAAGTGTTCGTATTCTTTACGGTGAAATTGGCTGTAGTAATGGTACTAAACCCTCCGCCTTTCCATGGACGTAGCGATTGTGGGATGCGTCATGTGCAACTCTTCTTGAGTCGGGATTATGTCAGCAAGGAAACTGTAAAAGAATGGGAATGCATGCCGTACATTGGGCCGAGCCCTGCCCACACTGTGCTTAACGAGAGGATTTCGACGAGATTACGCTGGGCAGGGGACACTGGAAACTATCGGCCTCCGAGGTGGTGTACAATGTCTTCAAGCTCTTGGCGATCCTTCGGCTTCATATCGCTAACATCCCCGAGATATGGTTTGTCATTCTCCCAGTGGACTTTGCCGTTGATGGGTGCTGGGTTCCGAGCTACGTCGGCGATGTCGGGTACGGCCCGGGCGAGCAAAGTTGTAGGAGCTGCAGCAATGCCTGTAGCGAGGAGAAACAATGGAAATAGAGCGGTGGCGTGCATGGTGCGTAGTTGGGACTGCCTCTGACGAACGGATTAAAACTGCTTGCGGTCAGCATCAAACATTTCCAACATGTGTATCCTTGCTCACAGTGCGTGGAGTGAGTGAAAACACGGTGAATACAACGATACAAAGCCGAAGCTGCTCATCTCGATATATATGTAAACTGTCACGTCCCTCAGCGTGGCATCTTCGGGATTATTACTTCTCGTATGTGCTCATAGTTCCCGACGTTTCATATGCGCATGCTTCAAATGGCGCTCAGCCAACATCTGTCGCTTGGCTTGGAAGTATCGTTGCACTGCACTCGCCCCGAGTCTTCCGTGTTGTTAATCATGGCAAATCGGGACTATGCGGCCGGGGTGGAGTTGCTGATGGCATACCGTCATGGTATTGACCACTCAGCGAAGTCGGTCGTTTGCTCGATATATCTCGTAGTCAGAGCATAGCCCAGCATACATATGCCCGTCCAATAGCGTTCGGCAACTAGTGCTGACGGCGGCCATGTGGTGTAGCACCATCGGAAAATATACAGGACTGGCTGGTTCTCGTTTTCGTGATCAACGCCGACAGAGACGTACTTGTAATTTGATTGAAGCAAATGACGAAAAAGCCTCCAGATCATTTGTACCTGCATGTTTCCCAGTCATAAGTTTAGAACTCTACAAATTCGTTCTCAACGCCATTCTCCTCGTATGCATCCTTGTGTCCATGATAATCGAAGTAAGCCTGCTGAAAATCACGGTAAGGGGACTCTGGAGGACAAAAGGCAAAATTCTCCAGGGTGTTTGTGGCATCGCGATAATCGTCAAACTCATAGCAGGCATGCTGGTCAGGACGCGTAGCCCATGCGATCAGCTTATCCCAGTCACGACATTGTCGGACTTGGCCTTCGCCAGCTTGGTGAGCGAGTGGAGCTGGCATGGGCGTATCGTCTGCAGTACACATTATGTCTTGTCGAAGCCCATCTAGGCAATGGTAAATGTGCAGAAGATCGAAAGACTGGTCACTGCCATTGTGCTTTGAGGCAATAGCCTTGCGGATGAGTTTCTATTGTGGGGTCAGCGTCTTCCTAAGCAAATTGCATGCTTTTCGCCTACCAGACAATGTACATCATGGATACCCTTTACATAATAAACACTGCGCTCGGTGTCCCACGGAAATCGAGTTGAAGGTGGTAAACCGGCACGCGCTGCGAATCTATCATCTAGCGCAACCGCCATTGCGTTAGTGTCAATAGCATCCCATGCTGCCTCCATGTCGCTTTCGGTGGCGTTGGGGTGCCAGTACTCTGTCATAGCGTGATATGGCACATCGGTGTCGAAAGCCAGTCCACCTGTGTACCTTTGTCAGTGAGTATCAGGCAAGCAAGTGCCTGCTACCTACTGAAGTTACTCTTTGTGGGTATATGTGAAATGCGAAGTTTTGCATTATCCATCACCAGCAGAATGTTGGCTGAGAGAGAGAGCAGCAAAAGCGACAGATATGCGACGAAGCTGCGTGTGTTGGTCGGTATGATTTCAGTACTGTTGGAGTTCCAGGAGACGCCCTCTTTGTCCTCTGATCCGGCCAAAACGTGCTCTTCCTCGTCACGACACACTGGCTGGTAGGCTGGGGGTCTTTCCATCGTGGATCGCTTTGTGCAGTGGAGGCAGAAGGCAGGATGTCCGCGCCTCCATCATGGAGGCTTTTGATGCGTGTGACAACCGTCCAGTTTGGCAGTTGCACAGCCATACGTCGCAACTACCGGGCGACGAAAAGAACGCCCAGTTGTCGCGCCCCGAGCTCGGTCCATTGATGAATTACGACGAGATCAGCCTCGGTCTATGGTTACATCGCCGAGAGGCCATCTTCCCGCTCCATACCATCCAGGAAGGTCGCAAGCCTTTCCAGGCGATTATCGTGATACAGGTGCCACCGGGCGGCTGGAATATGAGGGGCTATCGGAGGAGGTGTGCTAGAGCGAGGGTGCGTTACTTGCTCGCCTCGCCAAGACGCTAAATGTGCCGACGGTACCTTCCTTGTTGGGAGACTTCACCCTAACACGGCAATCTGCGATGTCCAATACTTGGGTCAAGCTATATCTCCGATTGCGCTGTTAATGCGCTACAGTGGCGAGGTAGCCTACCCAGGTACTCGCAGACTACTTTAGCTGTCCGATGTCGCCATGTCTTGGAATTGTCAACCAGTCTGCAGCAATGGGACAGCGATATGTTGTTCGCGAGGCGAAAACGAGGCAGGAGCTCGATGATATCATGACCGTTATCTGGGCTGCCAATTATACACCCTACGAACCGTTTTTGCAGCTATATTTCCCGGTCCTAGGCTATACGGCTGCTCACCGTGAGGCTGCCATTGCCGAATCACGAGAACGCTTCTGGAGACAACATCAGGAAGATACATCGAGCCACTGGTTCTATGCCTTCGATACCGTCACAAATCGGGCCGTGGGATGCGCGCAATGGGTCGTTTCGACGTCGAACCCTTTTGCATCAGGTACACCAAAGCTCGCAGCACCATGGTGGCCCGAAGGCGAGTGTCGGAGATTCTGCGAGTCAATCCTGAATCAGGTATACAGGCCGCGTGCGAGCTGGATGACGCGTCCTCATTGTGGTAAGTGGAGCACCAGTTGTGTTGGGTCAAACACGCTATTTCCGGAAAGAAAAACGAGACTCTTGAGAAGCAAATCAGTCGACTTCATGTCACTAACATGAAGACAGCACTCAATTGGATGGCAGTCGATCCTGGTCATCGGCTCCGTGGTATTGGCTGTCTCCTCATGGATGTGGGTGTAGCACGTGCCGATGAGCTTGATCTTGAGTGCTGGCTGGAGGCGTCTGAGATGGGCAAACCGCTATATGAGAAGTTCGGATATCAGTCCCTATTGAAGGTCGCGTTTGATAATCAGAAGCCAAATGCAAGCGATGAGTGGAGGAGGTGCGCGCACGAGATGACACCTCCGCCGATTTTTACCATGTGGAGGCCGAGAAAGTCGTTGCATGCAGGTGGTCAGGGCGAGCTAAGAATGCCGTGGGCGTTGGGTACGGAGCGATGAGCCTACGACCGTTGCTGAAAGCTTTGGGGAAGGGCACAATGGGGCATACTTGGACACTGAAGTAGTACGAGTGCACACCATTCGGCAAAATGGAAGATGTACTTTTTTTTTCTTTACCTGATACTTTCAGATGCCACCAACACGCCAATCTCCATTCCAGTCAGTTTAGTGAATCAAAGTCTGGATTAAACATGCATACCATGGCGAACAATCAAGCTCCTGATAATCATACACATCCTCTCAAGATACATGGAGCACCTGTCATACATGAGCACCTTCCAGATCGTGGCTGGGTTGTTGCTCTTACTGTTCTGGGTCAGCGCATGGTCATATGGTACGCGTTTGTAACGTACCTCGTGTGATGTAATTCTGCGTTTCTTCTCTCCCAAATTATACCCTACTGGGCCAACTGACAACACTCGACGGAATATTTGTGGCTACACCCGATGCATATGTTGCCCATCTCTTTGGTCTGCCACCTTCGCCGACATCGGCAACACTCCCACACGCAGTCGGGTAGTGGCTCTCCGCCAGGGTAGGCACGATGGCGTGGTGCTGCGATTGACCATCTTCGTTCACACATGCTGGGGTTCGCTCTTGTGACAACGTGGAAGGGTTTGGTTGGGGAGGTCTGGAGCGTCGATAGTGCTACAGCAGGAGGTAGAATAGAGCATCGGTCCTGATAACATAGCGAAGTGAAGAGTGAAATGGGGCGGTGTAGTGAGGTGCTCGGGAGCAAAGGCGCGAAGGGTGTCGCAATAAGAGAAAGTGGTCGTGGGGGCTCACGAGCGGTGTTGACAGACTTGGTCGGCATTGCGGCGATAGGAGTTATTTCGTAGCGATAACGTGACATGTGCCACAGACTACACTTGGAAGATGTATATTGGGCAGAAAAAAAAAAGTCAAAGCCATCCAGTCGGCTTGATCGCGGAGTCAGGCGCGCACCGCCTGTCCGGGAGTTGCCGATGTGAAGCAAGAGCTGAGCTGAGAGGGTAGGAGCTCGTGACCACATAGTGCCCAATTCCTGCCTTGATGAAGCTGCGGTACCCAACCTGCAAAATGAGTACCGGAATACATTCCTGGCATTGTCACGTTTGTCTCGAGTGGAACAGCAAACCATGCGGCGTTGGGACTAATCGGAGAATTTGGCCGGCGCCGTAGCTAGGTAGATGATCCAGGGGCAGAATTTGGTGCTGAAAGTGGCGGCGCAGACTCGGAGATGCAACTTGCAGGCATGACAGTACTGAAATGATATGATGGACGATGAGTGAGCGTGTGCAAGACGAGGATAACAGTGCAATTGTTTGTCGCGCACGCAATACCTACGAAGGGGCCTGACCCCATCACTGCCACCCAGCCCTCAGCTTCTCAACCGCCTCTTCCTCGGATACAACATCCGCCATTTTCGCGTTCATATCGAACATGCTGGCATCGTGAACGGCGGGTGAGCGGTCACCGCAGGCCTGGCCGACTACCTGGTAGGATTATTAGTAAAGTTGGTATCGACTCATGGATTGCCAAGTCGGGCCACACCATGGGTCGGAAGCCCAAGCACATGGCGTCGAGGGCAGTTGCGCGCACACAGCCGCTCGTGCTGACGCCGCAAATAACTAGGGTATCGATGTTGAGGGACCGGAGTCTGCTGGCAAGATCGGTCGCGAAAAAGGCTGACGGGTAGCGCTTGGTGATGACCAACTCGTCGGCAGCGGGCTCTAGTCCCGGCATCCAGTCGCCAAGGCCATCATCCGTCTGGCAGCCGGTTTGGAACAGCTTCAGCAGCGGGACTTTGGTGTAGAACAGCCCCGCGTCCGCCATGTCTGGTTCGGTATACTCGACCCGCGTCCAGAACAACCGTGTCTTGCCCGTCTTGCCTTGGCGGGCGGCCGCAACGAGTTTCGCAATCGAAGCGGGTGCAGCCGCCGACGCAGGGTTGGATCTGGTGTCCAATGGACTAGTTGCGCTCCAGTAAGCGTTACAGACGTCGACGAGTAGTAGCGCTGGTCTCCTTCCCCATCCTATCTTTCCCGCAAACCCGTCGTTCCCCTGGGCGCCGCGAGTGTCCGGAGTCATGTCGTCGTATTGTTCGGGCATTGATCATGCTAGACGTTAGTCGCCATCAGTCAAAGTTCAGGGAAAAAGAGCAGGGAAGCTATTAGGTCAAGTTAGCCTCGGGCCGCTTTCCACGACCAGCATCGTGAACCGTCACCACTCAATGCCATCTGCCGTCTGCTATTCACGTGGTGTTGCAATTGATCATGGCGCCGGATAGAGCGTCGGAGCAGTCCAAAATCACTTCAGCCCAGACGGCCTCGGAAGTAAGCAGCCGACCACTGGTGCCGGACCATTGATCAACCGACCGCCCACCCATACTACCCGAGGTATCTTGCTTGTCTTGCACCGCCACAGGGACAAACTACCGGAGCAACGCATTTGATCGTCTTCTGCTTTGATGCCATGGCTCCCGGTCCTGCCTATCGGCTTTTCAGCGTCCTAGTCACACCGCGTACTTCTAATACGCGCGTTCTAGGGCCTCTATTCACACTGGAACCTTGACCCCGGACTTGGCACATGATCGGACTTCCCCACATGAGCGCGAACGCGCAACCGGAGACCGATGGTTCTCCCTCTCCCACAACTACCGGCCTCTCCTCCAGCATGGAGGCAAAAGAAGGGCGGATTGGGAACGCTTTTGCGTGCGAACGTTGCCGAAAACACAAGGTAATCCATCCTTGTAGTCCGACTATATATCTTTAGCTGCTGACATGTCTTCTCCAGGTACGTTGTGTTCGCTCCGACACGCCCAGTGTTTGCCAGAGGTAAGTCTGCCCGCCCGTAGAGTGGCTCAACACAAACTAACACGTGCCCAGATGCCAAAAGGCTAGAGTGGAATGTGTAGAACATGTTGCGCGCAGACGGCCAGCAAAGGCGCGCGGCGATGGCCCGTTACCTACTAAGCTGCGCGAGTTTGACAAGAAGCTGGAAAAGTTGTCAACAATCGTCGCAACACTCCCGCCTTCTCCGGCTCCACCCAGTCTACCCTCGCAACTCCCCACACTAGAAACTTCTCAGCAAACAACAACACCAATTCCAGTCGTATCTCAACCCATGTCTATATCGTCTATTCCCAGGACATCGGCCCTTTCCGCCCATAGTCCGCAGCCTGAAAATTCATCGCCATTCTGGGATTCCATGAACGACACCGTATCCTGTCTCGGACGACTAGATCCAGTTATCAGGTCCATCACCTTGGTACATATGCAAGCTTTGCTCGATACATACCGCAGCATGGCCGACTTTTTTCCATTTGTGCTGTTACCTAGGGACTATCGCTGTCAGGACCTCTTTCAGCACAGACCGATGTTGACCTTTGCCGTGTTGACGGTATCTTCCTATGATTCCGTGGTGCTCCAGCAGACGCTAAGTCAAGATTTCCGCAAAGTGGCCATGGCCAAGATCATGAAGGGTGAAAAGAGTCTTGATCTACTACAAGGGTTGCTGGTCTTCATCGCGTGGCATCATCACTACATGGACACTCAGGCTGTTTCAATTACCATGCTCCTTCAGCTATGTTTGGGCATAGCCAATGATCTAGGTCTAGATGCCTTGGCCAGAACTGTAAGGAGTCCTATGCACAAGAATGACATCTGGGATAGAGAAGCGAAGCGGGCCTACCTTGGGTGTTACTACCTGTCATCTAATATAGACCTCATGCAACCTGGCAAGGCACGCTCCATGTCACACACTAGCACACTTCGAACCTATGCTTCAGAACTAGCTGCTTCCTGGGAGAACAAGTCAGACGCCGTCCTCCCTATCATCATGGACGTTTGTCAGTACATGGAAGATGTCGAGGAGACGTTCCGAAATCAGATTGAGCAAGCGGTAATTGTCCGCACTCAAGTAAAGCGCTTGAGTGAAAAGTGGGAGAACATCCAGTTGGCTGTCAAGCTACGAGCGAATGACTTCAGTAAGTAACAACAACATGTTATGGCTATGCAGTACTAACACTACTAGCAACATTACATTGGCTCCAACTCGCAGCGCGTATCCAACTATATCGGAAGGCAGCTACTGTTGAGTTTTCAGATCGAGAAAACACACCATGGGCCTCGGGCTTCCAACTATCGCTTCGCGTTACCTTGGTTCGATCGGTCGAGCAGTTCCTCGACAACACCACAAAGCTTACTTCCACCCACTTTGAGTTCGTTTCTCTGGTTGACTGGCTCAATCTAGTAAACACTCTTACAAACCTGAGTAAACTGGTACTGCACGCATCGCCAATGCCCGGCTGGGACCCTGCCGAGCTGCAAATTACAAAGACATTCGACCACTTCCGTGACCTGCTATCATCGCAGATGCCTCACCACCATGGCGTTCGGGATAACAGCGAGGATGCTTTTGAGCGGTTCCGCCGAATCACGTCCGCCATGAGAATCGCGCTGCATAATGCACAAGGTATGAGTAGCCCAAATGGTACCACATTCGAGCTTGCGACAGGTTCAGGACGCACCGTCTCTTTGTTACACAATCTGGCCTTGCCCAAGATCAACGGCGGCGCACTGAATGGAGGGGAGAAGCTGCCGAGTCTACGCGACATGAACCCCGCTGTCGACATAACTTGCGAAGACTTCCACTGGAAATTCCTAATGGGCACCGTTTGATGGAGGATGCGACAGAGAACCTGGAAGTTCTTTGTCTCCTTCCCAAAACACGGTGCATGAGGCGTTTCTTTTTACTTGCTTTGATGCCTTGTCTGCAACACGTTCACATCTCTACGCGGTCACAAGCGCAAAAGGCCTTGTCCTTACAAGGCGCCATATCAGCTATCACAAATAACACCACGGTTGTCTCCGCTCGGAAGCCAGACCAAATTCCGGCATTTCGGAGGTTTCGTACGACACATCATCCGGAACCGAGGCTAAATCACCCCACATTCCGAGTGCAAGCCACACTTCAACGACAACCCCACAAACAACCATTGGTGGGCCTTCCGGGGAATTTTCCTTGGCCACTCCGGGGTGGAAACCGGTTATTGGCCTCTCTCTCCCGCTTTTTCCATTACTTTCGTTCACGTGTAGCGTATTACTCCATTTTTGATATATACCCAGCATGAATCAGCAGATAGATGCGTGTGTTTTTCCCTCTTTTGTTTACTTGGGCCCCAGGTGCGGTACCAGAGTGGAGCGCGCATGATGGCTTGGTAGTGGTGTGGTTGCCTAGTTAAGCCACGGGCTTAATTTTCGGGGCGTCACGCGACAGTGTCGTCAGTAGCGCAGTGTAGATATGCAGCCCCCTCGTTTAATGAGATTAATCCTAGTCCAATTGTACATGTTGTGTACTGCATCGCTAACAGTATGGCGTGGTGACTGAAATCTAAGTGCTGAACTGATTTGAAAAGATCTTCACAGCCTTCTCCATCCACTAGACTAAAAACTGCATAACATGCGGGACTGCCACAAACCGCACTCCAGTGGAGAAGTGGACAAAATGGCGCCGAGAACGTTGGCTGAACAACTACCGGTACACGAGATGACACACCTACCGCTCTATTCACATCCCGAAAAGTCTTGCACAATGTGAAAGTGGGAACGTTCACCACCGCATCTTTGAAGAACTCTCCCGCCGATAACCTCCAAGTCCACAGCCGCGCACACTTGAACGAAGCCGCATACATTCAAAATTCCGATACCAGTAAACCTCACATTCGATACACTGTTCCAAGAAATCATGTCACAAGCTCTGGCTCTTAAGTTTGGTACCGTACGCCAAGCACGGTACCAGTACCGTGGTCCAAACCACACAGTCTCAGTCACAATCCATGGCTTGGTCGAAAAAGATCTCTCCGAACCTTGGTAGATGACGGAAGGCTGGTATGTATGTCTTCCTCGTCTCTGGGATCTTCTTTCCTGTACAACGTTTCGTAATACAAAAGGAAGTAAAAAAGCAATACACACAACACTTCCACGCTTCCATTACAGCACTCCACATTCATGCAACACCCAACCATCCTTCCAACCTCAAAAAATGGGTAACTTCTTCTCCTCACTCCCAAACGAGTCTAGGCCCTCTGAGCTTCCGGCAACATTCTCATCGAAGTCCTCATCTACGCCTTCACAAAAGAAACAAGGTTCTCAGCCTCAGACTAAAACGCCACTCACATCATCATCATCATCATCATCATCATCACGAGCTGCGTACACTCCTGGTCTCGATTCCGGATTTGATTATGGATGGGGATATGGATATGGTTCTGGATTTGGGTCTGCGATGGCGGCAGGGACGACAAGTGGGAGGAGGGGGTTTCATGACGCGGGGCATTATTGGATTGGGATGGAGGGGAGATTTAGGGGGTAGATGGGGGAGCGGGGAGAAGAGGAGCGTGCTAAATTTAACGAGCATGGATTACATGATATGACGAGAGCTCTACCGAGGAGTTTCGACCTTTGATTTCTTATGAGAGCAGTTAGGGGGGAGTGTGGAAGGACAGGAAGGAGTACCTAGAAGATGAGAAGGGAGAACGGCGTGATGGAGTGATTTCAGGGTTGAGATGTCCTCATATCTGGTTTCTTCCACTTTAGCACGTTGCTGTGCTCTTCATGCGTACACCTTTCCCCTAGTCTTTATGACCTTTTTACGGCGCAGTAATATTCACAGAAAATTTCCAAACTTTGTATCCACACATTCACTCCACAAGTGCGTTTCTCCGCTTCCCTTCACCCTTCACTATATCATGTCTTCCAACTTCTTCGGACATCACTGTACATCCACATGCACTTCCTAAATTTGTCAATGTTCACTTCCTAAATTTGTCAATGTTCACTTCCCTTTCCAGTCCACCTTCCCTCTTGAAATCCCAACCACAACTACAACTCTATTCTCGGTACCAACAAAAACACCAAAGACACATAGACACATTCATGTCCTTTTCGCACCGACTAAAGCGCTGTCGTAGCCAACGTAGCGCCGCATCCCAGAACTCCAAATCTTCTACATCTACATCTACAACTCGAAAAGGTACTGCAGCCTACACCGTTGTCCATAACGGTAAAGATGGCGTCCCTACCCCTGCTCCTCCGCCTTCTCCTTCATCTTCGCCTTCGCCTAATGCCACTGGAGCAGCGTCATCTGACACCAACACCACTGCTACTACCGTCCGACAAGAGACTAAACCTAACAAGCCTGGCAAACCACATACAGCAGTAAAACCAGAAGACAAAGACGTAGACGAGGTGAAGGATGTGGATAAGATAGATGAGGTGCAGAACGCGCGAACTATACTTGTCACGCCACCGGAAGACCCAATGCGCTATGCAAAGTACGCGCGGGAAATGACACAAGGGCCGTATTATACGAATGTGCTTTGGCATCGACGGGGGTGAATGGAGTGCACAAGGGTTGCAGAGGAAATCCTACATTGGTTCAACGTTTGGAATGGATAAAGACTGGGTTACATGGAGGTTACAGAGTGAGCTTGAATATAAAAAAAGACTTGTTTTCTCAGATATCGTCTTCGTATTTTTTTTTAATGAACTTTGCTGTACTTGTACTAATACAACGCAATGGAACCGGGTATCAAGGACGCCAGCCAGCTAAATAAAACGCCCCAATGTCACAATGCAGTGCAGCGCAGACCAAGTCAACACTGGTCTACAATGCTGACTTCCCATAACCTCTTTTGCCCGCTCCCATCTTCATCCACCTTTCCACCTCCAATCTTCTATCCAATCTTCCATCCCGTCTTCCATCCCGTCTTCGCTATCTCATCATCCTAAAAACATGTCCCTCAGTACTAAAAACCCAACTATCCAAACTCGCCACTTCGACGTCCGAAAACGTCAACCAGAGGTACTTCAGCGTCTCAGCCGGCCAAAAGCTCTCCTGCATATCCACCCAATTCCCACCCTCTTTCCCCGTCTCCTTCGCATCGTAGACATCCTTCAACTGCGCATACCCGTACGGTGCTTTGCAATGCTTCTCTAGCGCCTGCCATGCCTCCCACGCCCACTCCCTATACCGCTGCTCGCCCGTAATACGCCACGCGTAAAACAGACTCTCCACATACTCTGGTCTACCCTTGTATGCGGGTTCCCTCGCCCAGATCCCACTCTTGAGCGCTTCGTTCTTCTGGCGCGTCGTCTCTGGCATGTAGAGAGGAGTGTCGTAACTGAATTTCGGGATCCAGGACCACGACTCTGGTCCGATTTTCGTGGGCGTGCTGGTGTATGCGTGATGACAGCCTTCGAGGAGAGCGAGTGCAAAGGTGTGGAGGTGGGGTTGGTCGTAGAGTCTGGAGGCGAGGAGCACAGTTCCCGGGGCGAAGCAGGCGAGGTGGCCCTGGTGGTTTTCGTAGCGTTTGTCGTTTTGGCGGCCAATGTAGAGGTGTTGGGTGTAGTGTTCGGCGGCGGGGGCGGAGCGCGAGCTGAGATGCTTGCGCAGCGAGTAGGCGGCTTGCAAGAAAGTTGTTTTATATGCAGATAGGTGCGGGTCAGAGGGAGGGGCGAGGAGCGTCATTTTGACTAGGTATTCGTAGTACGAGTCGTGGCCGCCGTCCCAGTGTCGGTGTCGGCCCACGGGCTGTCCACTCATGATGTCGATGGGAGCGTCGACCATGCCTGGCCATGGTGTCTTCCAGTGCGACCATACGAGGGATGCCCAGGCGTTTGTGGAGTTTTGCGTGTAGATGTGGTCGCCGGTCAGTTTGGTAAGGACGCGGTTCTCGAGTATGGAGGAGCCAGCTCGGGCAGGGCCTATGGCCGGATGTTCGAACTCGCGCTCTGCTGGGTCGTCTTTTAGAATGAAATGGGGGTCTGGTTCGCCCTGTCCGGTGCTGAAATCTACGCGAGGCCATAACATGCCGGTAGGGGTATCGTATGCTGGAGCAAGCTTCTCTGCCAGAGTGATGGCATGCTCGAGTATCAGATCGCGCGCCTCGCCCGTCAGTACATCTTCCGGTATCATTCCGACGTCGTATATTTCCACGACCGACAGGAGGCCGCCTAGATAGCGTATCGTGGTCTCGAACGGGTCTACGAGGTTTGTTGCTTGGGTGAAGTCAATGGCCAGTATGTGCTCGAGCGAATGCGCCAGCTCGTCCCACAGTCCCATGAGAGCCAAAGTACTAGCCGAGTCAACGATGAAAGCGCCCCAGCCATTCCTGGACGTCGAGTTTCCACCCGACACAGGCAGGACATCGTCACAACCCCATGCATTCTCCCGGTACTTCCAGAAGGTGTATTTCATCGCATCCCGCACGCTCTTTGCGCGCGCCTCTTCCGCCTTTCCCGTGCCATTCCAATTTGCATATTGTATCTGCGCGCCGACAGACGGCACGTCTCTGTCGCGAATAGTCGGGTTCTGAAACTCCTTGAAGAGCAGGTAGAGGGTGATGACGATGATGGCGGCGAGGAGCTTGAACGACGACTCGGGATTCCGCTCGAATTTGGATTTGCCCCAGCGGCGGAAGCCGGGCATATTTGGAGAATGGGTTCAAGGCCTTATGCTTATGGTTGCTGGCAGAAGCCCTTCAAGTTGCGGGTGGTAATAGCGCCAACATCTGTCCAGACGGTTGCGGAGGTAATGCGGAGGTGCGGCAATAGAGGCGGGCGTTCCAAAAGCTACCATGTCATCATGTGCGTGGGACGAGGGCTTTAAGGACTAGATTTGGAATGTCCACGTCAGCTGCAAATCTCTGTGAGTGCGACATTAGTTTGGTATGCGACGCGTTCCTGATGGACTCTGGCTTGGCGTTGTGCACTTTTGCGTTGGCATCGCACATTGCGATTCTTGGAAGCTCCGCCGTCTCACTCCCCGCATGTCAGCATGGCTGTTTGGCAGTACGTCGCAGCCAGACTACAGTCCCGATTCCTAGCTAATCGTCCAGGTGGTTCAAGAGCATACAGCCCAAGACGCGCATGATGATTGGCGTGGGCATCATGGCATATGCAGCCGCTGGTCTCTACCTATCCGACAAGGCCGAGGAGAAATTCGGTCTCACTCCAACTGAGCAAGATCGAAAGCAACTACGAGAAGCTCTACCAAGGATATCGCCAGTCGAAAAGCGAAACCCGTAATCAACCAACGATGCCGGCGCGAGTAGACGAAGCACAAGTCGAAAAGACACCGAGAAGACTCAAAGAAACGTGTCAGATAGGGAGAAACGTAACAGGAGAGTTGAAACGAAGGCATATGAGTCATACAGAGAATAGCAACCTTACAACCTCACCCGGCTCTTCTCCATCCTCCTATCACGCACTTTACGAACGTCATCTTAGCAGTTGAAGCAAAATTCCAGCTTTACTACAATAACAAGGGCAAAACTGAAGTACATTACTACAAGAAACTTGCACACTCTGCTCACCCACTAAACCAGTAATCACTTCTTCTGCTTCTTCTTATTTAGCGAACTTGCGGGAGGGGAGGTTGCCTTCCTCTTCCCCTTCTCCGTCTCCTTCTGCTTCTTCTTTTTGGCGGACTTTGGGGAGGGGAGGTTGCCTTCCTCTTCTCCTTCTCCCTGTTATTATCCTTCTCTTTCCCACTCCCACTCCCACTCTCAATCTCACTCTCACTCTCACTCTCACTCTCACTCTCACTCTCACTCTCACTCTCACTCCCAGTCCCAGTCCCAGTCCCAGTCCCAGTCCCAGGGTTGTTGAGCGTCCTAAGATAATCCTTTGGTGGCCAATGAAGTGGACTTGCTGCGAGGAAAGGCTCTGTCAGAGCTTCGGTATCCTGTCCATACCTTTTTATAAACGCATCAACCGCTTCCTCATCATTCTTGAATTTTTGTCCGTACTTTTCCCCGTATTCTCTGCGCCAGACCGCGAGAAGCCCTCTGTTCTTTTCCGCATGCTGCTCTCCTGGCCTTATGAGCTCTACAAATTCACCAACGAATAGGCGATGCAGCCGGCCTCGTGCAAGGTCAATGTCGAGTCGGCCATCTTCGTTCAACATTCGGTCTCGTACTGCTTGTGGCAAGTTTTGCGTCCATAGGCGCACTTCTATATCTGTGATAGATATGAATGGCTGCGGGTTCAGATTCCAGTATATGTCGTCCATTCGCTGTCTGATAGCTTCCCCGCCCAAACTCAGTTTTCGATCTTCTGGTGCAAATACATATTCATCCTTGCGCCACACTTTCACGGCGGACGACTTAGTGAAGCTGCCTTTGTATGTGCGCCAAAGGACAGCGCGTTGGGCGCTCTCGTCGTTCCCCCGATCAGTGTCCTTAAACAAAGCATCATTTTCAGCTACATAAGTCCTAAAGTTTGTACCGCTGGCTTTGATTGAAGCAAAGTCGGGATAGGTGACAACATTAAAAGGGTTCGGGGGCTGTCTCGTTTTCGGTGGCACAGGGGGGCCTATTGATATACGAGGTTGGTCAGCACCGCTATTGTCCGTGTTTTCACCTGACCTCTCAATCCCACGCTCATACTTGTTTCTCAGCCTGTCCTTAATGATATTCGGTTGCAACTTGAGACTAGGGTCATTACGATCCCTGTCGTTGAAGACCTCGGGATCGTTCAGCCAAAAGTCCACTATGCGATCATCCTTCTCGTCAGCAAATTCGACAGCAGAAAGGACATGTAATGCCGCTCTGAAGCTTATATCAGTAGCTTTTTTGGCTTGAGGACCGAGTTCCATGCGTTCGAGGGCTTCCGCATTCGCTTCTTTCCACGCTTCAAGCTGCTCGGCGGAAACGACTTCCTCGTCACCAAAGTCTGTCGGCAATGCTGAAATGCCGGTAGGGAGGTTGAGTAAGGACCTGTATTTGCGTTTTGGTATTTTAGACAGATTATCATGGGTTTTTTGCCTTTCAACCAGGGTCTCGTACGCGCGCCTGTAGCGTTGCTCTTTGGGTTTGACGCCAAGATAGGCTTGCTTGTTCCCGCGAAGCTCCTGTCCGAGGATTATCTTGGAGAAAGTGGCGTCGGGGTCGTCGGGATCATATCTGAAGACGTCATCATTTCTATCTTCGTCGTCGGTATTATCGATATCTGTATCATCATCAGGTTTTCCACCAGAGCCCGAACCTCCTCTACGAGAACGATGGTTTCCATGAGGCTTGAATTCAAATGCGTCGAAATTCACAGGATCTGCTCGACCATCAAAGGCACGATAAGCCGTGGCAAGCAAAGGCCCCAGCGCCTTGGGCCTGAGAATACGAAAGACATCTGACGTCATCTTAAGAGGAAGCTCATCATCCTGTTGAGATTTTTCGCACTCATGTCGAATCCACTCCTGCATATCAACTCTGGTACACAAGGAATGAAAACCCATGTCCCGCTTGTTCCTATCCGAATTCTCGATACGAAAGGAACTGCGTAGATGTCGGAGATACGTTGGGTTGTTGTACAAATACTCCAGAAAAGCAATCACATACGGCCCACATGCCCCATGGTCTCCTTTGAATGCGTTGTCACGGGTTTGATGAGGGACGTATTTAGCCGTCTTTGCGTCGAATCGTCCACGTTCGTCGCCAAGGAGTTGCTCGATACCACAGAGAATCTTGCCGGCAACTTCGCCGGGACGAAGCATTTGTCTAATTCGATACTTATCGGCGTGGCTCCTGCTACGCTCGAGATCCAAGAGCCCATCAAACCATCGGGCTGTTCGCTTTGTTATATCGACAACCAAGAGGCCCCAATGGCTGCCCATGTCGATGGTTGGTTGTGGTGGTTGTGGTGGTTGTGGTGGTTCTGAAGTGTTCACTTGAACAGGGCTGTTCTCTTTTGTGCCTTCAGTTTGCTGCGTAGCTTCCGCACCCCCTTTGGCTTTTTTAGCAGCCTCTTTAGCTTTATTAGCAGCCTCTTTAGCTTTATTAGCAGCCTCTTTAGCTTCTTTAGCTCTCTTATAATTCTCTGCAACCCTCTCCTTAGCCTTTTCAAGTTCTTCCTCTTTAGCCTCTTTAGCCCCTTCGTCTTCAGCCTTCTTAAGTTCTTCTCTGGTCTTTTCAGCTTCTTCCTTAGCTTCTTTATATTTTTCTTAGCCTGTGCAGCTTCTGCTTTAGCCTTCCTAGCTTCTTCGGCGGTTTTTGTTACATTTTCGTTAAGTTTTTGCATGGCGATGATGATGGTTTCACTGTCCAGGACGCCATCGGACACTGGAACAACGATATATCTTTTCTCCTTGGGTGTACTCTCAACCAATGGTCTCCGTTGCTGGTGTTCCGCTTCTGCTTCTTTCGCACCCTTACCCCAATTATACAACTCGGTGCCCTGGTACATGGGCAGTACCCCTACATCGTTACCACTTTGACGATTGTGCTTATTTGTCAGAACAGCTAGCGCAAAATCGATGGCGGTGTCGTCCAGCCAATTTTCGTCGTCCTCGGGACGTAAATTGTTGATTGCAAGGTAGTCTTTGACGCTGATATTGCAAGTCACTTGTGCATTGTCCTGCTGTATACCAGTTTCAACGCTACACAAATTTCTTTTCAGCCATGCATTCAAGTGGGCCTGCTCTGTAGATGGCTGATCGCTGGTAGCTGGTTGCGCCATGTCGAAAAGTCGATATATCGCAAAAGTAATCGGTGCGCAGAAATGTTTTTGAAGACCAAACTAAAGCCACGAGGGAGATGTTGTCGAGCAGACCAACAAAGACGTCCGCGTGCGTGAGGGGGGACATGCCGGCCATGGATGAGAACGTCGAGTTACAGTAACCATGACAAAGAGCACTTTTAGTCATGGTCGATTGTCCAGAGACAGAAACGGTCAATTCGTCCCAAGGCTAGGACAGAGGTTTTTCTTTGATGAACCACTAGGGTGGCTTTGTTTCGACGTGCGGGTCAAGTTCTATCACTTGGTGATGTACGGACTCGACGACTTCGCCGAATTACGGTTCTGCTCTTGAATTAGTTCTTGCTGCATTCGTGACAGGTGGTGGGGTTGGTTGCGCAGAGGGACAGCTCGTCTTGCAAGCAGGCGTAGACGTCGGAGACCACAAATCCATCATTTGAATCTACTAGGCGTTAGATTTCAGTTGTAACATCGCGGTGGACGACACGATGGGATTACTAGGTGAGCTGGCATATGGGGGATGGTGCGTCACTGCGTCTTCGCAGGGAAGGCACGAAAATGGCCACACCTGAGTGTCATAGAATACTTGACCGTGTGGGTAAGCGCCTAGTAGGCGTGTCTGGCGACTACAGTGGCCTTTTCGCACTAGTATGTCAAGTATTTTATGACAACCGGGTGGCCATGCGATACCAGGCAACCACGTGATTGAACCGACAAGTAAAACAAACAACTCAGTATTAGGGGAGGAGGTATCAACTTGAATTCGGGTAGCTACGTAGAGATATCGGGCTCGGGGGAAGTACATGTTTACACAAAAGACAAAAAAGGGCTCGTGACATTGCAAAAAAGGAGAGACGATTGATCGTATCCAAGAGAGGTCGGTGACGGTGTCATGTAGCGGCTTACATGCGGCTGCGATAGGGCCGAGGAAGAGGAGCAGATGGCTGCTGAAAGAGCCTATCTGGCAACCTGTTCCCATACTGATCGAAGCGGTAATCCTCCTTTTGTTCAATCCACATCTGCTCTCTCATGTCAGCCTCGGTGCTAACATTTCTAGAGCTTGCTACCGAAACGGGGATTGTAGCCGGCGTTGTAACCACTCACCTCGCGTTCAGTGTACTTCCGGTCCAGTGGCACTGGTTGCGGATTTAGTATCTCTTCGTCGCCAAAGCCCGCGTCGCCTTTGAACTTACGCGAGTAGCTGGCGGCACCAATGGGTTGTGGTGCGCCATACTCTGCGTATTGTCCTCCGTGAGTGCTGTACTGACCTTGGCGCTCGAACGAATCAGGACGGCGGCCGAGCGGTTCAGGGAAGGGACGAGCCTGGTTGTACCTGTCCTGGGTCTGGATGGGGTACTCGGAGCGGTAGTGGTCTTCCTGTTCGTAGCGCTCATCGTAGTGGGTCTCGTAGCGAGCGTCGCGATGGTCACGGCCGTGTTGCTCCCAGTGAGCGTGCGAAGGCTCATAGCGGGGACCATGACCGCGCTCGTCCAAGTGCTGAGGGGCAGGACCGCGGTGGCGCTCGTCAATGTAGACGTCGCGATGCTCTTCGTAGTGAGCCGGAGGCTGGCGGTCGCGCTCAACATAGACGTCGCGGTGTTCCTCAAAGTGCTGCTTGGGCGCACCATCACGCTCGATCCAGACTTCCCGGTCAATGTGCGTAGCATGGGTGGGTTGGTGGTGGTGATGGTGCTGAGGTTGAGGCTGAGGCAGAGGTTGAGGCTGGGGAGGCGGTGGAGGAGGAGCCTCTTGATGAATGTCAATGTCGATGTGAGTCTCCTTCTTGGCCGTCTTGTGCTTGGGCTCCTCGACCGGCTCCAGAGCGGTCAAGTAACCCAAGACCTCGGCAAGACTGTTGTGGGCAATGTTGAGTTCTTTCTCCCTGTTCTCCAGCTTCTCCTTCTCACTCATGACCCAGTAGACGCGGTGCCTGATGCCGATGCGACGGCCGTCCTCGACATCGCCCGCAACGCGTTCAGTCAGTGGTGTCATGTTCTCAAGGGCGCCGCGCACGTCGCGCATGCAACCGTAGACCCATTTGGACTTTTCAGGATTGGCCTCGAGGATGTCGTGGATTTCGCGCACCGAAAGAAGACGTCGAACCTCCTCCAGGTCGGATCGCACGCGGCCGATGATGCGCACATAGACGGCATTAGAAGGGCCAACGTCACGGACGCGTTTAGCTTTGGTGAGAAATTCGGCGAGTTTGTAGGCACCTCCCAGAGCGGCACCGGCGGCGCCGATGGTCATTAATTCACTTCTAGCCATGTTGGGCAGCGGTGAGGTAGCTTAGGAAGCTACCGGCAAGGTGAAGGTGTTGGTATCAATTGAGTGTGAGTGTAAGAGGGCCTGCGTCTCTGCGGGTACCTGGCGCGAGCATCCCGCGCAGGTTCAACCGGCTGCAGAAAGTGGAGATGGGCGCTTTGGTGTTGTTGTGTAGGAGAGTTCGATCGAGGTCTGTTCAGCTCGCTCAGGGCGCTGAGGCATGGGCCATGTTCGGGGGCTGGGGATAGCAACCTCTCCTAGTACCAATGTGGCTGCACTAGACTGTCGCTCATCACCCTTCACAACCAAACCAAGCTTGTGCTTGGCCCTCCAACGTGCATTGATGGATCCACCCGACGAACTGGTGGTCGACCTGCGTTGCGCAACGAGCTGATCGTCTTCGCAATGGCGATGATCCATCAACAAACGCAGGTCCCTCACCAACATCCGAACCTGCATAGCACAAGCTCTCGTAAACACACTTTGCCCTTCTATTGTTTACGCCGTCTGATACGCGCTTGCACTTGGATAACCCCGGTCCAAACTGTCATCTCCGCACTGGCAGCGTGCCTGAAAACCGGATTTTCTTCCCTTTTCAACTCTATTTACCACGTTTTCAGCCAATTGCCGGGCCGGGGCTTTATGCAACATCAGGCGCTCAACGTTTTCGCGTCCAACTCTATTTACCATTTACCGCAGTGCTTTCACCTGCAAAGTGCATGTGTATTCGCCAACTGACATTGTTCGTCTTGCGATTGGTGGCTGGGGTAAATAATACCAGCCCTGTATTTCGACTTTCCGCCCTACTAGCCATATTTTACGCCAATTTTGGCTTTATTTACCATATTTTGCGATGAACTGCCGAACACGAGGATCATCCAAATTCAACTCGGTCCCCTCGGCATCCAACAACGCTCGATCCTTCTCCTCTAACTCCAAGTCCATCGCCTTCATCTGCTCGTCCAACTTGCTGTCTGTTAAGCTCACCGTCTGGAATGGCGCATGCTTGTACAGCACGCTCAATATAGCTCTGATGTCTGTGTCCGCCTTGCTTGAGCGTTCTGCAAGTTTTTCGTGTGTTGATGTCGTGGCTGACTCGTAGTGATCTTGCAGTTTCTTGCTTCGCTCGAGCTGCGTGTGCTGCAAGAAATCTTGAAGCATCTCGATATTGTCTTGATGGAAGGATATGCCCGCGTGGCGAAGTGCATCTTGTAGTGCAACGGGTAGATCCAGCATTTGGTTAGGTTTTAGCTTGACCATGGGCGTAAAGGCAGTCGTGCTGGAGTTCATTCGTTTGTGTGGAGGCCGTGGCGTAGCTGGGAGTATCTCAGGCATACGTTTTGCAGCAGCAGCTTGGACGTATGCGAGTGCCTGTTGAAACTCGTCGCTCTCTGTCGCACTCGTAGCTAGTATGTCGAGGCGTTTACCCATGTATTCCAGAGTTGAAAGTACCTGGACCCGTCAGCAATGATCCTATCTAGACCATTCTTTTACTCACATAGTTGAGCCACGCAGCCCGCGCCTGTGCTCTTTCTCTGTCTCTGCGCTCCTTCATGTCCGTCATAGGCTTGCGTATATCGTGCTCAACAACCATTTCAGCAATAGATGCAATCTCCGAGTGAAGCTCCTCCAGCTCTGCCTGTAGCGCGACTTTTCGTTCCTTGAGAGCCTCTTCCGACTCCTCTGCAACTCCGTTTTGCGGGTTTCCAATGCTATTGAGAAACACGGTATCAACGCGTGCCTTGATTTCCGCGATCCGATACGAGATGATGGCCTTGCACCATTGCTCCATTGACTTGTCGTCCTCGTTGACTTCGGGGTCTGTCACAATTTGAGACATCAATCCTGGGAGTCGGCTCAGAATTTGATCATCAGAAGAGAAGCGCTCCGAGAGGTAGCTCTTGAGCGAGGACTTTTCATGATCGACCTCCCGCTGTGCGTCTGTCATTTGCTCTGTGACGGATCCAGCAACATCATCGACCTGACCACATCAATACCAAACAACAATATATACAGCGTAGAGACTTACCGAAACATCCAGCCGTGCCTTCTCCTGTCCCTCTTTCCTTCTTCTCTCGTTCCTGGCATGCTCGATATTCAGATTGGGCTTGTCGAGAACCTTGAGCTTCATCAATGCATCCTTCTGCGCTTCTAAGACCTTACACTGCTCCTCGATTGCTACAGTAGAGCTTTGCAGCGATTCAATTGCTGATGCGATCTCATAGTCCAAGATGGGTCGGATGGGTTCACCGTCGCTTTCGTACTGGTGCAATAGACCCTTTTTCTTCAATGTTTGGTACCTAGCCGATAGTCAGGATGAAGTCGATATATGGCATCCCCAGACGTACAACTCCAGTTCTTCTTTGGTCAACAGTGTCTCTTCGTGCAAATATTCCTCTACCCATGCCGCGAACTCGTGGTTTGTATCCCCATCTTCGAAGCTCAAAAGTATCTTGTCGAGATCTACATTCAGACCTCTTTCCTCGACGACATTCAGCAGGTGGTGAGCTGCCTGTTCTTCAGCCATGGTTACAGGTTGGGTGTCACTGTTTGTTTCTTGACAGGTGCTAATGCAGTTAGCTTGGGTACATGTGGCCTCGGCCAGCCACACCGACCACACGCGCAGTCGCGTTTTGGCCCTGACGCGCCTTCAACTTTCTATGGCATTCGCAGCAACGCCCACACAACTACACTCCACATACGATTAGAGCTACAATGCCTCCAAGCGCTGTAGAGCCCGTAATCGCTACAGAGTCTGCCAAAGAAACTATGCAGCAAACTAAAACTACTACACAACCCGCACCACACAACCCCGCGCATGAAGAGCACCAATACCTCTCTCTAATCCGCAACATACTCGAAAATGGCGAGCACCGCCCCGACCGCACTGGTACTGGCACATACGCCCTCCCCTTTCCCCCACAGATGAAATTCGCCCTCTCCCAACCATCATCAGACCCCACCCGCCAAGACCCCGACCTCATTCTCCCCCTCCTCACAACCAAACGTGTATTCCTCCGAGCCGTAATCGGCGAGCTCCTCTGGTTCGTCGCCGGAAGCACACACAGCAAAGCTCTCTCCGACGCGGGGATCAAGATCTGGGACGGGAATGGTAGCCGCGAGTACCTCGACAGCGTGGGCTTGTCACACTACGAAGAGGGTGAATTGGGACCTGTATATGGATTCCAATGGCGGCATTTTGGCGCAGAGTACAAGGGCCATTCGCACGATTACACAGGCGAGGGCGTGGATCAATTAGCGGAAATCATCGACAAATTGAAGAACAAGCCGTATGATCGCCGCATCATACTCAGTGCGTGGAACCCCGCAGATATCAAGAAGATGGCACTACCACCATGTCATATGTTTGCACAATTCTACGTTTCGTTTCCAGGACACAAGCAAGGCGAGGAGAGACCGAGGGGCGTACTGCATTCACTGCTGTACCAAAGGTCTTGCGATATGGGTCTAGGTGTTCCGTTTAACATCGCTTCTTATGCCTTGCTAACACATATGCTGGCGCACGTTTGCGACTTGACGCCGGGCACCTTTACACATACCATGGGCGATGCACATGTGTATCTAGATCACGTGGAGGCGCTCAAGGTGCAGGTAGAGAGGGAACCGAGGGACTTCCCCACGCTTAAAATCAATAGAGAGATAGGGGGTAGTATTGATGGATGGAAAGCGGAGGAATTTGAAGTCATTGGGTACAAGCCCCATGCGAGTATTGCTATGAAGATGAGTGTGTAGGAATGGTATGATATGTGTATATGAATTGGGCTATCAAGATGGACATGTCAAGAATAGATGAAGCGGTTTGCATACTCGGCGATGAGCTATGACACGAGAGCCCTTGCGACTACCGCATTGTGCTTGCAACAGTCACATAGCCGTGCTCATGGACGTGTCAATCTTGGCCGTGTCGAGTATACCAATTGCACCATCTGTGTGCTTTGTAGATGAAACGAACACACCGAACGGCGACCGATTTCTATTTCAATCAACTAGCAACCTTTACCAATCAAGTAGAAACAAAAGGCACGTGTTGGTAGGATCATGCTATGATTAGCAAACGTCTATAGCATGTACCTCGTAAACTCGCAGGTATACACTGTCAACGTGGGGATACCGCTGGTTGCTTAGACAACACAGCCGCTTCGCACATGGCGGGCAAAACGCAGCGCTCGACGCAGCATGCGGCCCAGGCTTAGGCTTGCATCAAACAGCCCCTTCAACCACCAGACCAGAACCCACACCGCCTAAACCACTGCTTTTTGGACGTTCACGATACCTTTTTCTACATCACCAAAGACATCCTACATACATCTCTATACATAATGGTATGTAAAAGTTCCCGTTGGTTTGCTCTTTTGCGCGGAATGCACCAGCCCCGCAGTGTAGTGTGCCCTGAGTGCTCGTTGGCCGCCGCGGCTAGGTCGACCCTGCCTGCCTCTCAAGCGGAAAGCGGCAAGAACGAATAGGAGGGTGCAAATAAGCATGTTGTCCTTGCCTCGCTGCTGTGTTACACAGCCGCAAAGCTCGACTTCTTTCGCTGCAGGAACGGCACAACAACACTCTCACTGCAATCACCCCCCCACTAAGAGATTTGAAATCGCGAGAAACGGACAATAATGGATAACAATAATCAGGCCTCAACAAACTATCGCGAAGCCTTCCAGCTCTTCGACAAGCGTGGCAACGGCCGTGTCGACCGCGGTGCCCTCGGCGATCTTCTGCGCGCATGTGGACAGAACCCTACACTTGCTGAGATTGCGGATCTCGAGCGCGGTGTTGGAAATGACTGTATGTTTTGTCTCTCCTCCTCGCGACACTACATGCGACACATGCCAGAGTCGGCGTCTACTTTCTACAAGTAAAGTTGGCTAATATCCCCCCAGTCGACTTTGAAACCTTCTCCAAGATCCTCAACCGCCCCGGTGGCTTCCGCGAGCCATTCGACATCGAAGAGTACATCCGCGGCTTCCAGGTCTTCGACAAGGACCGGAGTGGATTCGTGGGCAAGGGTCAAATCAAGTACATCTTGACCAACCTGGGCGAGAAGATGAGCGAGGAGGAGGTAGACGAGCTGTTCAAGAGCACCATCGATGCTAGCAATAACGAGGTCGACTACAGGGGTACGTTCACCTCCCCTTTCTATACCCCGATGTTTGTTACATAAGAGACAAGGGAAGCTAACAAATTGTGCAACACAGAGTTTGTCAAGACGATCGCGGAGAACTAAATACTCCGAAGCCTACCCTAGCCCCCAGCCTCGGGCTGTTTTGGCTTCCGTGATACATTTTGTTTAATGCGAGCATGTCTGTAACGGGTCACGGTCATTTTAACTTTGGCGTTTGAAATCGGTTCCTTTGGAATTATAAATATCTACTCTTCTTCTTTGATATCGTACGATAGGGAAGCGAAGGGAAAGAGGGGACGGAGTTTGCATTAGCTGAGCTATATGCAAGGTCAGCTTAGTAGTATATGTGGAAATCAACGCAAATGCAAGCCACTTTCACACCACGGTCAATCGATGAGACGTGATGATATCGGGGAATTTGAGTAATCTTGCGAACCCCGGCGTTGGGATCATGACAAAGCTTACAACCCTACACAGTCACTCCACTCATTCACATTGAAAACAGAAGTGCAAACTCAAAGTGTATATTCCAAAAAGATGAATTCGTCTATGAACAACATGATCAGGCTCATCTAGTCTTGATTGTACGTAACATGTATCTTTGCATGAGAAACCTTGCGCGCCAATGAAGTCTTGGTGGTGGTTGGGTGGGTATCTAGATATCATAAATGCTCTTATGATAATGTATGATAAAATGCAAGGGGAAAAGAACAAGAATAGCAAAAAAAAGGGAAAGGCAAGCAAAAGTTTAACAAAAAACCATGCATTGTTATTGCAGCCACGTCCTCGGACACCGGAGATAACAAACATGCAAGAGAAACGCCACAGAATAAACACCGAACAGGACTGAACCGAACTGAGACAGGGAACGCCTAAACGCAGCCAACTTTACCAAAAGAAAAAAAAAGGACATGTTCGTCATGGGGCGTTACTGGGTCTGTGTATCGATCGCATCGTGATTGTAGTGGTGGTGAGAGTGGAGGAGTAGTGTGCAGGCGCAGGCTTAACTCGGTAAACACAAAGCGGGGAGTCCGTCCAGACCCCAGCCGCCCATTGATTGCGGAGGTTAAAGTCGGTGGTTGGTGCATGCGCATGGCCAGAAAAATAGTTTGCATGACTACTTTCTTTACTCCGCAACCGGTGAGATAAACCAGTGGTGTTTAGTTATGGCGCCGACGCCGGCACACGCACGCCCTCGGCCGTGGGGCGGAAAGCGGAGACGCCTCCTCCACGCCTCACGAATCGGGCTTTTTCCTCTTCACGCCTTGACTTCGGTGACACTCACGGTCGAGCCCATGGGCGCGCCGCTGCCGGACGACTTGTTGTTGCCCATGATCATATCGCTGGTCTTGACAAAGCCACCTGGAAGCAGGAAAACGTAGTCTTCGCGGCGGCCTGTCCGGTCGACGGCGAATTGCTGCCAGTCGAGCTGGTAACCGACGACGAGGCTGCAGCGGCCGCAGCGCTGGAGGTAACGCTTCTCGAAGCCGTCTTGCGACGTGATGATTTCGGGCTGTCGGTCCTGGCGTGTGCTGAGGAGGAGCCCGTAGTGGTCGTGAGATGGGTTGGGGGCTGTGTTGCTGCGTGCGCGTCCGTTTGCGCCTACTGCTGAAGGAGCCGCCGGGGGCAACGGCATGATATGTGCAGAGTCTTGAGAGTGGCGGCGTGTGGGCAGCGAGGGGAGGGGGGTGGTGGTTGCCAGGAGGAGATGGCTGCAGAGACAGTGGTAGGTGTATACTGTGTTGCTGGCCTGGAGGGAGATTTTCTCCTCGGGGGATGGCGAGGGCATGGCGAAGTAAGCCCGGGAAGTGGTGGCGATGTCCATTGTGTATGTGGTTGTGGTGTTGTTGTAGTTTAGATTTGTTGGTTGAGATAAAGGTTGTCTCGGGGTGACGGTAGGTTTATGTAGTTAATTTGTAAAGCGAAGGTTACGGTACCGATCAACGGGGTCCGTGATTTGCCTGGCGAATCCTGTCGGGGCTTACAACACGCGCTATTGTAATCTCGTGTGAGTGGAAGGTTGTGGAATGATATGATATGAGTGAGAGACGGGGAGTCAGGTCCAGATGTAGTGAGTGGGGTGGGCACACAGAACAATAGCTGTCACCCTCGGAGGTTCCGACTGCACTTTATACAAATTTCCCCCAAGGAACGAATCTCGAAACGGGAGAAGGGCTTGATCCTAGTTTCTTACAGGAAACAAGCGCGTAACTGGGTGGATAATGGGTAGGTGGATACGAAGGAGAAAGCCTTCTTGCAGTGCCTTCCTGGTCCGGTCTGGGATTGGGGGGAACAGCGGCGGGCGGCAGGGGAACGCCAAGAAAATCTGCAGCGAGGGCGGGTTCTTCTGTCCGTGCGTGGGCGGACGTGAGGCGGAGTGATTGACGTTGACGTGCTGGAGGGTGATTTGTTTGAAAGAGCGTCCGGGCTCGAAACTCTATACGACAGCCAAGCTCACTTGTGAGACCGCTTAGAGCCAAGCAACCGAGGGGGGACAGGAGAGTCAGACGTGGGACTCTTTGACTCTGGAAAAGGTTGCAGATGGATCGGAGGGTCAGAGAAAAAAGGCCCACTTTGGTGTTGCTGCTCCACTAACTATCGTAATTTGATAACAAGACGGCAGAGAATAGGATAGACGATGGAGAGTGGTAGTATGGGAATGGGACCGGATTTATAGTGTAACGTCTGCTTCAGGCTGCGTGAACATGCAAAGGGCGCGTTGGCCGGCGTCATTGCATTGCACAACCGTCCTTCCGCAAAAGCAAAGCAGGCCATGTCAGCAGCACAGGGCCATTAACCCCACGATGGCATCCCCACGGTGTTGGCCGCGTCGTTCGTTTGTGCGAATCGATGTGCGGCAGGCCAGCACGCGTTGCAGCTTTGTGCGTCTCATTTGGCAGCCTGGCCATGTGACAGGGTGATGCTGCAATGGGCCGAGAGGCCAGCGTGTGCACACGCCGCTCTCGCCTCAATTTACCACGGCGAGTTTCGGATTCGGACTACCTGCGTCTGCATCTGCGTCTGTGTCTGTACCCGCCAGCTGGCCGCCGCCGTCCCGCCCACTTTGGACGCTTCAGCACGCCTTGGCTGGATGTTGCGGCGCGAGCTTGCGACGACTTGGCTCAGCCACGCATTGAGGCCGATTCCCCGGGGAAGATGCCGCTCACAAAGGATGTCATCAAGTTTGGGACCTTTGTGGTTACAAGTCAGGTGAGTAGTCTTTTTCCCACCCACTTTCTTTTCTTATTGATTATGCGCCCGTCTGGTCCCGACCAATTTGACTTGGGCTTACGTGCTTGGTGCTGTGTCGAGTAGGTGTTCCACGTAACACGCCTGTCCTTTGCCATAGTCAATCTGAAGCCCCTCCTGCCCGGCCATGTCCTCGTATCACCGCGCCGAGTCGTGCCACGCTTCAACGACTTGTCCGCAGCAGAGGTCCAAGATCTCTTTCTGACCGCCCAGCGCGTCTCGCGCATGGTTGAGCGTGTGTTTGATGCCTCATCGCTGAACATTGCGATTCAAGACGGCGTAGACGCGGGACAGAGCGTGCCTCATGTGCACGCGCACATTATCCCTCGCAAAAAGGCCGATCTGGAAGAGAAGGGCGGCACCGATGCCATATACACCATGTTGGAGAGCGAGGATGGTGATTTGAACAAACACCTCAAGGAGAAGAAGCGAGCTGCCAGCACAGACGGAGCTGAAGACAAGAAGAGGTCTCGCTTCCCGGCTGTCGACAACGAGAGTCGCAAGCCCAGGAGCGATGAGGAGATGCAAAAGGAAGCTGAATGGCTGGCACAGGAGATGGACAAGGATGAACAGGCAGCAGGCAGCAACGGGGACGACTGACTGCCACCACGGTAGCCTATTATTTGTAGTCGCCTTCATCAAATACCGTACCTTCCACAACATATCACCTCCTGCTTCCTTCCTTGACATGCGCAGCAGGAACCCTATCACGTGTGCTTCTGGTTCTCGAGACCACACGTTGTGCGGTCTTCGAGAGCAGGAACCCTGGCTTGGCACTGCACTGTGCGACCGCCCACCTTCTCTAGCAGCCACTCTCACTTGCAACTAACTAACCACTTGCCATTGATCTGTTGCTTGATTGCGCATTGCGGGCGCGGCACGCACTATTCGCACGTGGTCTTCACTGTCTGCTTCACACCCAAATATTTATACCTGCCGAAAGTCTCATACCACTGACAAGCTCAACCCGCAACCTTGGTCCGACAGATTTGGTCAAACCCACTTGGTACTTGGAAAACTACCTGAACCAACAGGATGCCCTCGTCACTACCCGATGGGTGTGACCCAGATGACTACTCCAATTCTTCTCAAGAACATGCCAGAAACAATGGCGAACAGGTCACCACTAACGACGACAATGGTAACCTTGACCCTACAGCAGCCTTTACAGCAGCCTTCCGCTTGTTCGCTCTGCCACCTGAGCTTCGCCATCATATCTACTCCTTCCTGATACCGCAAAGCCTGACCATCACATTCGTGCACCATACTCCCAAACGCTCATGGTGCAGAAGGGATTTGTACTGGGTAGCTAATGGCATCTCAAAGGACGGAAGTGTTATCCAGCTTGGAGGTGATCCTTTCTATAGACGAACAGGAGTGCGCCGGCATCATCACTTCAAGGTAGAGTCGCAGCTGTTCCGCGTAAGCAAGCTTTTCCGCAACGATGTGCAATGTAAGTATATGTCTGTATTGAACTCATGGTCTTCAGCTAACAACTGCCAGCCGTCCTCTACGGACAGAACACATACAAGTTCACTGTACATGGAGAGCCCCTCGAGCCAATCTCATTCCGCAGCCCTATGATATTCGGCGCTCTAGGCCAGACACAGATTACACTCTCCCAACTCCGCAATCTACGCCACATCCGCATTGACCTTGTTGCCAACAACTACCATTGGGCGGTCAAGCGCCAGCGCGCACGCCTGGAGTATTTTGTCGAAATCCTCAAAATGCATGCAGATGATGCGGATAAAAAGTCTCTCCTGGAACATCTCGAAGTACACTTTACCATGACACCGCGGAATTTCCTTTTTCCACGCGACATAGAAGAGTCAATGTTCGCACTGGAGAGCTTGGCTTCGCTGCGTGGTATCAAGCATGTGGACTTTACTGGTTTGCCGGACTGGTACTCCAATTGCATGCAACTGGTTATCAAAGGAGAGGGTGGGGATGTGGAGATGACGGATTGGCCGCTGATGGAAGTGAAGCGTCGCACTTATTTACTGAACAATCGTATGAAAGTGCACTGGGTCACGTCGCGTAAGTGGTATCAGCCGACGTTGAACTGGAAGGAGTTTGCAGAGCGAAATGGTGTCGACGTCCCAGAGGACATTGACAAGTTTTGGGCGACGGTAGGGTAGGATGTGTGTAGAGGTGGTGCTTGATAAAGATGGTCCAGGATCTACAATTAGAAACCATGCTGTGGTACATGAATTGCCAGATCACGGCATTTACAGAACAAACGAATTTATTCGGCTGTATCAAGTGTTCCCAACGGTGTGATAAAGCAATGTTTGAATAGGTGGTCATGCACCGCCTAGTCGATTCCTTTTCCCTGAAATGTATCGTGAAGGAGAGGTTTTGGGTGCACGTGAGAGCGTGTGGCAACGCGCCACGTAAATGTTCGCGTCCAGTGTCACAGTCGCGTCCATGGTGGAAGTAGAAAACGCCAGCGCGTCTGCAGCTGTTTGAATGTGCAGGAAAAAAGCAACGAGTACCTTTTCTGCTTGAAAGAAAGCGCACCTTCTTTGCGCCATTGCGTCATTGATTTCTCGAACAAAGTTGACCGCCGGGAGCACACCAAGAACACGACAATGCACAAATATGCCGCGATTGAAGGCTGCAACAGTATCTGGCCAGACCGTACGAAAACGGAAACGAAAGGTTCGCGACGATGACGTAACGGAAGAAGCTGCACTGGCTACTGAAGGCCAGAATGAAGTCGTGGGACCCGACGGCTCGCTGATCGAACCTCACCAGCCGGAGACGGTCGAGAGCACGACTACGACAGTAGCCACCAAAACGCACGATGGAGGGAAGAAGCCACGAAGAACTCCAAAGAAGAAGAATACTAGCAAGCCAACTCTTGCACGCCATGGCTCCTCCGCGCTTGTCGAAACGTCAATACCCTGGCCCGAGCACTTTACGAAGCTTGCTCAAGTACATCGGGCGATGAACATGGTGTACACCTTTCTCTGCACGCGCAAGCATCTCGCGACAACGCTGGATAATCTAAAAAGCACTGTTGAGAGCAATCTACAACGAGAGCTCGTCATAGAAGATGTAGCGCAAATCACAGCATTGATTCCAAAAGCAATCAATTTTGCATATGTCGACGAAGCCATGCTGCAAATCAATCTAATGGGCTCGGAAGATAACCTGAAAGGAAGACGGACAACAGACTTTGCTATTTTGGAGCCTGAACCGGATAAAGGCGAACACAAGGAGGTGCTGCTTTTCGAGTTTGTTGATGGCGATCTGAAGCGCCAGGTCAAGGACAAGAAGACTGGAGAGCCGACCAAGGCTACGACGAAGCTGCGTAATGAGGATCTCAAGATGCCTGTGTACAGTCAGAAGCAGATGATGAATCTTATCGAGAAGCGGAACGTCAAGTTTACGTCGGCAGTCAATGCATTCTTGAATCAATGCGCCGAGGAGGGTTTAGATGCAGTGGAGAAGATCAAGGAGGTATCAAAAGTTTACATACCAGTCTCCAGTGAGAGTAGAGAATCGACACCTGGTCCAGAGAGATCGTTGATACCAGCAACCATTCCCGCCGAACGCAAGCCCATCCCAGAAATCCTGGATGAGATCAAGTCACTCGAATGGTATACTGGTCAAATCGTGCCAGACGGCCACCGCGTCTTCGATCCTCAAGAGCCAGTATACGGCGATTTGAACTTTGCCATGTCGCAGAACCTTGTGAACGCGCTCTACAACACGAGAAACATCACTCAGTTATACGCACATCAGGCCGAGGCTATCAACAACTTGTACGATGGACATAATGTGATTGTCTCGACGTCAACTAGCTCTGGAAAATCACTCATCTACCAAATACCGGTGTTGCACCAGCTCGAACAAGAACCAAACACTCGGGCAATGTACATTTTCCCAACAAAAGCGCTAGCACAGGATCAGCGAAAGAGTATGAAGGAGCTTCTGCGGTTCATGCCTGGGTTCGAAGAGGTGCTGGTGGAGACGTTTGACGGTGACACGCCGATGAGCGACCGCAACTACATCCGAGATGAGGCGCGCATCATATTCACGAATCCTGATATGTTGCACATTACCATATTACCGCAAGAGGATGCATGGCGCACATTTCTGCAGAACCTACGATTTGTCGTGGTGGATGAATTGCACGTCTACAACGGACTCTTTGGAGCACACATGGCCTTCATCATGCGTCGTTTACGGAGGATATGTGCAGCGGTGGGAAACCGCCATGTAAAGTTCATTTCCTGCTCTGCTACGGTGGCGAACCCAGAAGAGCATATGAAGACGATATTCGGGGTTGATGAGGTCAAGTTGACGGATTTCGATGGCTCGCCTTCTGGACGGAAAGAGTTTGTGTGCTGGAACACTCCGTTCAAGGATCCAGGGGACCCTACGTCTGGACGTGGTGATTGTATGGCTGAGACGGCAAAGTTGTTTTGTCAGCTCATGCTCAGGGGCGTGCGAGCGATTGCATTTTGTCGTGTGAGGAAGCAGTGTGAGGCACTGCTTGCTGCAGTCAAGACGGAACTGACGAACCTTGAGCGAACAGAGGTTATTTCAAGAGTCATGTCATATCGCGGTGGCTACACGCCGCAAGATAGACGCGAGATTGAACGGGAAATGTTCGAAGGCAAACTCTGTGGTATCGTGGCCACAAGTGCGCTGGAACTCGGTGTCGATATTGGATCTCTAGATGCCGTCGTCACAGTTGGATTCCCGTACACTATCGCCAACCTCCGCCAGCAGAGTGGCCGTGCAGGTCGAAGAAACAAAGACTCTCTATCCGTCCTCGTGGGCGACTGCTTCCCCACCGATCAACACTACATGTCCAACCCTGACGAGATCTTCACCAAGCCAAACTGCGCCTTACAAGTCGACCTAGAAAATATGCTCGTCCTAGAAGGCCACGTCCAATGCGCCGCCCATGAACTCCCCATCAACCTCGAAACCGACACCTCCTACTTCGGGCCCCTCCTCCCCAAACTCGCCCGCGAACGCATGCGCCTCGACAGAGACGGTTTCTACCACGTGAACACACGTTTCCTCCCTCAACCCTCCCGCACCGTCGCCATTCGCGACACAGAAGAAGACCACTTCGCCATCATCGACACAACTAACAACCGCAACGTCGTGCTCGAGGAACTCGAAGCCTCCCGCGCCTTCTTCACCCTCTACGACGGCGGCATCTTCCTGCACCAAGGAAACACATACCTCGTCAAAGAATTCCACCCCGACCGCATGCTCGCAAAAGTCGAACTCGTAAAAGTAGACTGGACAACCCAACAGCGCGACTACACCGACATCGACCCCGTCGAAACACAAGCTATACGCCGCATCCCCGGCTCCCACTCAAAAGCCTTCTTCGGCCCCATCAAAATCACTCAAGTCGTCTACGGGTTTTTCAAGATCGATAAGAGGAGGAGAATCCTTGATGCCGTGCAGGTTGATAATCCACCTATTGTGTTGCATAGTAAAGGCATGTGGCTCGATGTGCCCACCTCCGCGCTCCAAATTCTACGTTCCAGACGCCTTAACATTGCCGCTGGTATCCACGCCGCCGAACACGCTGTGCTGAGCTTGATGCCGAATTTCGTCATCAGTTTACCAGGCGACGTACGCACAGAATGCAAAGTCCCCGAAAAGGAATTTCTAGCAAAAGACTCGCTGCGCAAAAGACCAGCTAGACTAACCTTCTATGACGCAAAAGGTGGCGCAAATGGATCGGGCATCAGCACCAAAGCCTTCGAGTTCGTAGATGAGTTGCTCGAACGTGCGTGTCAGAGATTGATGAACTGTCATTGCTTGCAAGGATGCAACGAGTGCTGCAACGACGATGCTTGTAAGCAGGCGAATCAGGTTATGTCGAAAGCGGGTGCGGGTGTTATTATAATGTGTTTGCTGGGACGCGAGAAGGATATTGATGTTGAGGCGTTGCCGTGGGGAGAGGAGGATGTCGAGGCTGGGTTTGATACTGTTGTTGAGGCTGTGGGGGTGCGCATGGCGGAGGGGGTGGGGAGGGATGGGGGAAAGTTACCTGGAGAGGATGAAAACGGGAGATTGAGGGGGGAGATGGAGGGGGAGAAGATGGTTAGAGCAAAGTTGGTAGATGGGGTTTGGGTTAAAGAGGAAGAAGAGGATGAGGATCATTTTAGTAGGAGTGTGCATATGTTTGGGGGTGAGAGGACGTTTATTGGGGTGCATCGATAGCTGGATGTTGATAACTTGTGTCGACCGAGGATTACGATAGAGTGAACCATCACAAATACAACGTTCATAATCAACCAAACTTTTGTATCTTCATTCCAACATTCACATCCCCACATACTCATATCCATGAATGCATAGGTCCAAAAACAGTGCACAACAGCACTCATATACCAAGCCATATTAACACACAAACATCCACATCCACACACGCAGGTGCACGCACACATACTACCCCGGGGTATAAAGCAGCTCAATAAATCCTCCATGCCACACACATACCACAAGCATAAGCCACTTATGAAATGTATACAGATCAAGGTATCGCAAAATAAAATAAAAGGGCATCCTCGCTGGAATGCAACATTAACAACAACAGTATCAGAAAAGACAGTAAAAACATATAACAAGCCATATCATAGCCTCGTAAATGAGAAAAAGAGCAATATACGCTTGTCGAACCCAATAGGGGGACATCAGCAGTATAGCGCCTAAGCGCAGAAGAAAGAGAAAGCCCATTCCAGGTGTATATATGCAGCTTTAATACCCAGCCGCACCCGCATTCGGAATAAGCATCTCAATGCATTTAGTGAGAAGGTTGCTAGCTTCATGCAACAACTCCCACCTCGTCTTCTTAAACATATCTCTCATGATGATCAGCAAACCGAGGCAAGCATTTCGGTTTGTGACTTTAGTCAGGTCGTCGGGTGATTGGACACCTCCGACGCGATTGAGGTAGAGAACCATGTCTCTGACCTTGTCGTCGTAGGTGGGGAGTTGGTAGGGTTCTTTGACGGGGCCGTCGAGGGCGAAGCCGTAGGACCAGACGATTAGCGTGGCAAAGTATAGAACCCAGGGTCGGTTGAGGAGGTAGTCGTTTCGTGCGGAGTATGTTAAGCCGCTGGCAGAAGAGGAGTTGGGGTTTAGGCTGTGGTCACCGGCGACTAACACGTTAGAGAGGAAGCGTAGGGCGTAAAAGGTGGCGTCGCGGGCTCGGGCAGAGGGGGCCCATCCGTCCTTCATCCGCTTTTGCGCGCCGTTGTAATCCTGTGGTGTAATCGATCTTCCGAGCAACCTGGGAGCGCCAGCAAATATCTGGCAATCCACGATATCAACGTGCATGGCCATGTGCGCCAGGTGGTGCAGAACGGTCCGTGCTTCAAAGACATTGTCTTCGTCGACACCGTGAGAGTAGCCGTACGTATGTGAGGAGGAACGATCATCCGGTCGATTTAGCGAGCTGTCAAAGTCTTGCTTCCAAAAGTCGAATGCCCGCGTCAGGGATCCCCGCCACTTGTCGCGCCCCCCCAGAGCGGGTGTGACACCGAGTGAGCTGACTTGCAAATCCCGCTGATTCATGTGCCACGATACGCTGAGCAAACCTGCCATGAGAATTGTACGCCCAAACGAATTAGTGCGGACACTCTGTCCATTCAACGTCTTCTTAAGACCATCGAGGAAAGACATTGGTTTAATGCCATTTGAAGTCAGTGTTTGCTCAACCCGACCCACTTCGGAGCTGCTTGTTGCAGACCACAGAGCTTCATCACACGGCAATGGAAGGCGCATCTCGTGAGCAACCATGACGGCACTGTGGCCGAACATGGTAGCGTGAATGCTGTCCAGAACAAAGGCTGCAAATGCCGCCCTCCTAGTGGCTTCATTTGTGATCCAATGGTTCCACCATTCATCCGGTGTGTTCGTTCCACCGCGCCCATTGCCCTTTGAGTCTTTGACGCTTGGAGGCGAGTCCAACGCTGATCTTCCAATTAAAGAACTTCCTCGCCTCATCAGTGTCAGCGTCGTGGCATGGTGAATGTGCGCTCTCTCATGCAATGGGCGTGTGGAATACATCTTTTCGAATATCTCTAGAAGAAGCAAACCCTGGAAGATCCACAGTTTAGCGGGAGGGCGGAAGTCGGCATCCATGAAGAGCTCCCAGCGCAAATGCCAGGCTAAAAAATTGGACAACGAAGCGCAAGCTTCTGTAGTCTCTTGGCCATAGTTCTTCTCCAGACAAGACGCGCCAAGGCACATAATAGCGAGCAACAGGAGGTCGGGACAAGTGCTTGCATTGAAGGTGGGCTTGTGAAGGATGGGTAGTTGCGGGTGGAAGTGGACCCAGTACGAACTGATATATGTCTGCATCATGTGTAGACTCAGTACGTGGTGGCTGTCGTCCCTGTCTCCCTCCATGATGTCTTCTTTTTGCTTTTTGACTGGCGCATGATCAGTTTCGTTGAAGCGGAGGTGGATCAAATCGAGCAGATCCCTCCGCTTGTCTTCTGATAGAGCAGTTTCTGGGAGTGTGGTGTCCAGGATGCTGTGGACGGCCATGGGATGAGAGGGTGGTGCGGGGTTGTTGAGGTAGCCGGCAACTGAAGGGTCATAGTTAAAATACGGGGCTTGAAGACCAATTCTAGAAGACGCACCAGCTACGGGGTTGGCTCCGCCCGGGTAGTCCATCGGCGACGCACCACCTGGGTTGAACTGGTTGTCGTTGAACAGCCAAGCTGCAAAGTCGTCGGCCATGGCAAAGGGCGACCGACTGTATCCAGCGCCGCCAAACATGGGGATAGCGTAGGCGGGGTTTTGGTCCATGATTGCGTCAGATACACCATGCATCCGATCGTCCATCTGGCCAGTCGACTCGACGCCATTCATGGGCGTCTGTCCGGAGGTACCATTATAGAACTGGTTTTCTGCTTCTCGAGAAATAGGGGTGCCGGCTGGTTGGGGGTACTCTGGTGGAGGTAAGGAAGTGAAGGGAGGAAAGTTTTGTTGTGATGGATACGCACTTGCGCTGTTTTGGTAGGCAGTCGACGACGAGGGAGTATACTGCGACTGCGACGGTGTGACGGCCGAGTTGAAAGGTGAGCTCGAGCCATATGAGCTGAGGCCTGATGTTTGGGTGCGTAGTTCGGGTCGTGTGAAGTTGCCATTACCCACATGCGGGGAGTTGTGGAGAGGTGTGCGACCTCCACTGTAGTTGCCCAAAGCGGCGGGACGGGGTGGGGGTGCAAAGCTGCCCATGCTCTGAGACTGCATGTCATAAGGCTTGGCATCAGAACCGCTGCGGTATCTGTCTTCGCTGCCCGTTCTTTGCAATGAGTCCTGCCGGCTGAGTGTGGCAGTCGAGGCGGGCGACTGGAAGTTTGGCGGCGACATTGCGCTGCTCTGGCCGTTTGTGGATGCGCCCGACACTGGCGACTGCATGCCATGCGAGACTTGCGTCTTCATGCCGAGCGGCTTTGGTGGTGCATTCTTTCCCCCCAAAGCTGCCGTCACAATAGGGTTGAGGTTGTGCATATTGAACGTGTCCTTGCGCAACAGTTGCGACCCGCGGGCTGTGTGTCGTTCCTTATGACGAGCGCCTAATCTTCTTAGCATCTTTAAGTATTAGAAACCAATAAAGAAAACTTACATAAATCCTGTCTCACGAAAGACCGACCGCATGAAGGAAAATCGCAGTGGTAGATTTGCTTTGGATTGTCTATGCAACATTAGCTTGTGTTGACGGATAGAAGCGGTGCAGCCACTCACGGTTCAACTGGTGTCGATATAGGTGCTCTGCGCGCGAGTAGCTCTTTCCACAACCCTCATGCGGACATTCGAACTTCTTGTCCAGGCCCTTTCTACTACGCCTGCGCTTTCTCGACGAACCCTGACCGTCACCGTCACCATCTCCCGAGTTGCTACCCTCATCTCGGTCGCGTCTCCGACCTCTGTCAGGCGAAGCGGGGGTAGGTGGCTCACTCGGACCACCGACAGTAGTGTCCATCTTGTCTCCAAAGTGTGTCTGAATCTTTGCCAAATCCGACGCGTGCGCAGCATGCATAGACAGGATTTGCGCCGTCATCGCCAGTGGGCAGTCGTGGGCAGTGTCTTGTGTCGCGACTGGGGAAGGTAGACGTCTGTGTAGCGGTGGCGGAGGCTCGCGTGTCCGACTACCAAAGCGTGGTGTATGCGTTAGTCAAGAGGCGCTGGGTGATGGGCGGGCATGCTAGTTTGGGTATTCACGCGGCCTCGAGCAGATCAGGGACTAGTCAAGGAAGGGATGATGTAGTCGGTACTCGGGCGCTCAGTGTGTAGCAATGGCCGACTACGGTCTCGAGGGGCGCAAGTCAGTGATAATGGCCCGGGGCCTGTGCAGATGTCGCCTAGACGTCTGCAGTCGAGACCACCGAGACGAATCGCGAGGGCTGAAGTGTGTTGTTGACTGAACCCTGAACGCAAACGTGGGGAGAGTCGTGGGAGCAGACGGGACGAGGGATAAACAAGGCCGATATCTCTATGTAAGCTGTGCCGTTGCGCCACCAGACACCTTGACGTATCCGCCGCCGTAGCCGCGATAGGAAGCACTTGGTGAGGGGTACTGTACAGTAGGGTGGCCACAGAGCTGCCTGCTTGCTGGGGGGCCGTCAGCAATCAATCGCCGCCTATACAACCACCCGACAGTTGACTGCATTAACAGGTCCCTACATACGCCCTATTATTGTCCCTGTGGAGAAGCGAAAGCCGCCATGGGCCGAGCGTGGGGGCCGACAACTATGTACAAGTCCACTCTCTAAGCTGCGCATGCCTATATCAAACGTAATGTCGACCTGCTGCTACTGTCACACTGTCACTGACCTGTCCAGCCTCTTCCTTCTCAACATCTCTCGCCCAGTCCTGCGCATCGCCTGACCTAAGACTAATTACTAAACCTCATTACAGTGCCACACTTCCTCTCAATCTTACTCGTCAGCATTTACCCAAAAGCTAACCCGGCTTCGGGTCCTCGGCGAACGCTAGGGCGCCATACCCCAGCATAGGGTCCACCACCCTTCTGGAGACTCCACCAATTGCTATCCACACGGGCGTCACTACTCATGCTAAGAACAAGCGGGAGTCGGAGCTCGGCGGCAGCATCATCGCCCGTGTATCCGCATCGCAGATTGCTTGCTTCCATCAATAAACATTGCTTATCAAAATCCCCATCTGCCGCTGAATGAACATGGACTTCTGGCCCCTGTTATCTACATGGAAAATGCCAGATATATTACTCTACAAGCTAATACCATGTATGCGCCTGGATGTCATGGTATACCGAACATACTAGTGTACAAAGGCTACTGTAGTCGCCAGACACGCCTTTTAGGTGCCTACCCACCCTGTCAAGTATTTTATGACACCCTGGTGGAGGAACAAAACTGTCTTTATGCATAACATCCAGCCTCGCCTAGCACAAGTCTCTATTCCTGTGGCCTCCACCCCTCTGGTTAGCATGTCACCGAGCGCCCGTTATGGCCAAGACATCTATGCCTGGATGGGATATTGCTTTTTATTCCTTTACAGTACCAAGTTTCAAAGCTGCACATTTCTGCATCTCCGGTAATCTGCACAAGGCCCTATCCTGGTCTATAATCCCCTCGCTTTTCGTTGCTAGAGATAAACGCCCGCGGGAGCGACACAGACGCCATTTGTTGGGCTTTTACAACCCGTCGTTGGAGCAACACATGGCAAACAACTTGCCAGCCTCCACGTCAATTATCCATGCGAATTCCCATTATCCCGTCATAACCCCCGCTCATAGGCCTGCAAAGTGACACAGAAACCCAAGCTAGCCATGCCTCGGTATCCACAACACTGGATCCAGCACCTCATACCAGGTTTGAAGTACATGCATAGTAATAGCCCTACTCATCACCACCGGCATTAATGGCTTCCTAAGCATCAGCCGCTCTGGTTTCGGCCTCGTTGTCCTTGTCCGCTGGCTTAACAGCAGACTCAGGCTTCTCTTCTTCCTCTGCCTCGACAGTAGTTGGCTTGTCAGCGTCCTTGACAGCAGTCGCCTCTTCTTGGGTAGCTTGTTCTCCCACAGGCTCTTCATTGGAGACCTCTGCCGTGGTAGTTTCGGCGCTTGCTGGCTCTGTGGCTGTGGCTGTACCCCCACCCGGCTCCTCGTCTGGCTTGGGGGCAGGATCGACCGTCTCCTCGCTTGTGTTTTGCTTTGCCGGCTCAAGCTTGCCGTCCTTGTCTTCTGACGCTGTCGCATCTTCGGCAGATTCAGCCTCGGCCTCGTTTTCTTCCTCAGCATCTTCCTCTTCGTCTCCCTCATCTTCAAACGCTGTGACATCTCCATCGCTATCTCCCTCTCCAGCTTCGTCCTCTGGTGTTGTATCAAAGATTTGCGTTACAGGCCGTGATTGTAGAACCGGGCCCTCCTCCTCATCTTCGTTTTCTTCCACTACCGTGTGTACAGCTGTCGGTCCTACCGAAGGCGAATGTCTATGTCGCTTCGTTGTGCCGGCTGTTGATAGTGAGTTGTCGGACATGTTCTCGGCAGGGTTATCAGAGCGCTGTGGTCCTGGATTTGAGGGCTCTCGCTTCATGATCACAGGTGGGGCCGGCGTTGGCTCAGCGCTTGAATCGATACCCTCGGCCTCTGGAGGAATAGTGTAGTTGTCTTCTGGCACCAGACTATATACATCGCAGACTGTCTTGTACAAGACATATAGCCCTGTTTTTCCCTCAATCTTCCAGAAAACGTCGCGGTGTGAGTACCATGCATGTGCAAAGATCCTATACACGCGCCTAAAGATATTAGTTAGTTGGCGCGTCTGCGAATGCTGTGTAGATGAATCGGTTCCCAGAGCAAGTCTCGAAGGGAAATGCTTGGGTGATGTAAGAATATTACCCGCCCAGTCCAGCGTGTGGGAGCAGTAGTCGAAGGCGCAACATGACTTTGGGGGATCGTGAACTGCGCAGAGATACTGCCATTCGGAGGCGCGCATCTCGGGGCATGTCATAACAGAGCATGGTGGTTTATCCTTGAGGAGGCCGAGAAAGATGGAGTTGGCCTCTTGTATGAGGAAGCGGCACAGTTCGTACAGCCATAGTGTCTTGTCTACATTCTCGGGTGCATGTGCAATCTTGAAAGCCATTTGCTTGTCTACTGGTACAAGGATTCTCGGATCCGTTGGGTGCGTGAGGGAGTGGTGGAGTGCTTTGAGGTATTCGGTGAGTTGGAAGGCGGAATCGATCTGTGCAGACGCAGATTGTTAGATGCGCTTCCCAAGTGTAGACGTGTAGACGTGCCTCTGATAGCTCCACCAGCGGAGGACCTTTTGCCATATCCACTGCCTTTGTTCCTGGTCGTATCCTCCTCTCGGCGGCATGGTCAAGGTTACTAAACAGCTTCTGCTGCTCTGGAGAGGCCGACACCGGCGACACCTGGTCCTCTGGAATTGGTGGCGGGCTGGGCAGACGGGGCGAAGCCGGTGAAGTCATGGTTATGTCGCGACGAGCGATAGAATTAATCTATGTCTTCACAGCAGACGCTGGGTAAACAGCTGGGCAATTGGGTGTGGGGTGTTTTGTTGACTTTCCGACTTCTGAGCTTGCCATGCAGGGCAGTTGCAGGGATCCTGGCTGGCTACGCGACTGCGCTAGCTTATTTGTGGGCGGCACTATTTCTACATGACTTTGCCTCCGCACGACGTCATTTAGCTTTCTCGTGATCTTACAGTGGTAGGTTGTTTCGTCTGGTTACTCTTCCCTGGCTCAGCTTACACCAGTCTTGTATCATTACTGGCTGATATTTCAATCTTACAGTGTCTAAAGACTACTTTCTTCAATTTCTCTAAAATCTCCAATTCCCACAATGGACGGTGACACTTCGGACGAAGAGGTCCCGAGTCTCGTACAACCGGAAACCAACACCAAAGTTCTGCATGACCAAGACGAGGAGATACCAAACCTTGTGGCTACCTCTAGTGATGCTCCCCAGAGCAAAGTGCCCATTACCATCGTCACTGGATATCTCGGAGCAGGAAAAACAACTCTGCTCAACTATATCCTCACCGAACAACATGGAAAGAAGATTGCCGTAATTCTGAATGAATTCGGTGACTGTACGTCCCCTCCAGCACCCCAACTCCACCCCTAACACTCCCATAGCAATCGACATTGAGAAACAACTCACCGTCTCCGACGCCAACTCAACATCCGCCCAACCCGCACCCTTCGTGCCCCTCGCCAACGGCTGCATCTGCTGTTCGGTAAAAGACGTGGGCGTGGCCGCCATCGAGAACCTAATGGAGCAATCTGGCCTCTTCGACTACATTCTGCTTGAAACCACAGGCCTCGCCGACCCGGGCAACATTGCCCCCATGTTCTGGCTCGACGACGGTCTCGGCAGCAGCATCTTCCTCGACGGCATCGTTACCCTCGTCGATGCAAAAAACGTGCTCAAGAGTCTGGATTCCGGCCTCGGCGATGAAGAAAACATCGAGAAAAGAAAACAAGCTGCTGCTGACCACGATGAGCATGGCCCCTTACTTACCACGGCACATCTCCAGATTAGCCATGCAGACGTTGTGATTATTAACAAAACCGATCTTGTGACTGAAGAAGAGCTGGAAATCGTCACACAACGTATCCGCTCCATCAACGGCCTTGCACGCATCAAAACGACGACGAAGAGCCAGGTCCCGCAGCTTGAAGGTTTGGTTCTGGATCTTCATGCGTACGACCAGGTTACAGACGCCGATCTCAAGTTTGCGAGTAAAGGACATTCCCATCTTGATCCTACGATTGCTACATCCACAATCACCTTTCCGGCGCTAGACCGCGAGCAGGTGGACAAGTATGATCTTTTCCTGCGCACGATTCTGTGGGAGGAATCACTGGCGGGGGACGTTCCGTTTAAACCGTTTGAGATTCACCGGTTAAAGGGGCGGGTGCCGGTGAAAGATGGGAAGGTGTTGCTTACGCAGGGTGTGAGGAATTTGTATGAGACCAATGAGATGGAGGATGTGGCTGGGAGTGGAAGTGCAGAGGCTAAGTTGGTGTTGATTGGAAAGGGCGTGGATCAGGAGGGGTTTAAGAAGAGTTTGTTCGATACACTGGGACTATAAGGGGACAGCGATGGGAATGGCTTGTTTTGTTAAAGATTTCAGGGGATGATACCAAGAAAATAATGTTTGTTCGTAAATATGGGTTTACAATAGTGACACAAAATAATAAATTAGACCGATGCAGTATGGAAGAGGAATAAGGGGCTGTTGCAGAATTCTGTTGTGCATCAGATCCAGGATATGGTTCTAATTCCTGTATGCACCCGGGTGACATGAGATACTTAACATGATAGTGTACAAATGTCACTGTAGGCGCTAGAAACGCCGAACAAGTGCTTACCCGCACCGTCAAGTATTTTATGCTACCTAAGTGTATGCATGTGTGCATTCAGAACAGAAACTGCCAAGTTTTGATCTTCTGACTTTGTATTTCTGAGCCGAAAATTATCTCAAAGACGGTAGTGAATATAGCCAACTATCACCAATATATGTTCTTAGCAAGGTCCCCTCTGAACCCATAACCCTCTACAACAGCCTCGCACCGCCCTAAACCTTCTCACCTCCCACAACCTGAACCTCTGCACTCCCATTGCCACTCTCCGCATCTCCCATTGCCAGCCCCGCCAGTCCAATCTCCCTGTTAATCTCATCCATCCTCTCCTTATCCTTGGCGGCAACGCCCTCAGATCCGAAAATCGTGTCCATCTCCTCGAGCGTCAGCCTCTTCGTTTCCGGGACGAAGAACCAGATAAACGCGGCTCCGAGCGTGGTGACCAGTCCGAAAAGGATGTAGGTACCGTAAGTGATGTTTTCGAGGAGTTCGGGGGTGATTTGACCGATGATGAAGTTGTTCATCCAGTTGGAGGAGCCGCCAAGAGCAGTACCATAGGGGCGAGTTGATAGGGGCCAGATTTCTGATTATGAGTATTAGCGGCTTTTCATTCACACATCGAACAAGCGACACAGGGGAGGGGCTGGAGAGAAAGGACGTACCAGCAATCAAAATCCAAGCACAAGGACCCCAAGAATATCCAAAATGAATCACAAACAACCAAACCATGACCACGGCCGCCCAACCTGCAGCACGGTGATTTTCAAAGTTATCAATGTTCTTTGCGAGGATGACGGCGATGACGAAGTGGGAGAATGCCATGCCGATTGCACCGACGGCGAGGACGGGTTTACGGCCTAGGCGGTCGATGTAGAGGACTGCAGGGACTGTGGGGAGGGGATGTTAGTATGGGACCAGGTCGCAGGAGTGGGGGAGGACATACTTGTTGCAATGAACATCACGATTCCTACAACACCCGTGGCGAGGAGGGATGTCGTGTTTCCTGTAAGCCCGATTTGCTTGAAAATTTGAGGTGCGTAGTATAGGATCTAGACTTCGTCAGCATATCCCCAGATGCCAAGGAAACGGGATGAACTTACTGCATTGATACCCGTCCACTGCTGGAAAAACATAGACACCGTAGCAACAACCACCCTCTTGAACATGGCCTTTGTCTTGAACAACGATCCAATCGCCACAAATTGCAATTTGAAGATATTCCACGCCGTCTGCTCACGTAGATGGGGAAATGCTTCAGCGATACTGCGCTTCTCGAACATGGATTGTGCTTTGATTTCCAGGAATTCCAACTCAATGAGCTCGTGGTCAATAGGTAGATTGCGCAGGGAGGCGAGGTTACTGCGAGCTTCTTCTTCGCGGCCGTGGTGGACGAGCCAGCGGGGGGAGAAGGGCATCCAAATCATGCCGATGATGAGGATGAAAGCTGGAAGCAACTGCAGACAAATGGGAACGAGCCAGGCGGCGTTTGACTGCGTTTCGAGTGTTGTACCGCCAATGTAGTTAGTTCCGTAGTTGATCCAGAAACTTATCATGATACCGAACGTAATGGCAAGTTGTTGAAGAGCTACGAGTGCGCCACGAACTTCACTGCGTGGGAGTTAGCATCCTCTAAAGCTGGAAATTAATAGTCGTTACGTACGGAGGCGCGCATTCGCTGTTGTACATGGGCACAATGACGGAGAGACCACCGACGCCAACACCACTGTTGATCATTAGTAGAGTTCAAGTCATTCAAACCGGAGGATTAAACGAACGTAATGAATCGGCCAGCGAGAATCTCTTCATGACCACCTGAAATAGCACTGATTTGTACCACGACACCAACAATAAAAACGGCGGTCGCAATCAAGATGCCGTACTTTCGTGACATGCTCTCTGCCACGAATCCCGACATGACGGCTCCAAACCAAGCTCCGAGTTCCAAGATCGCAGTCAACCATCCCTTTTGCGTTGGATTATCAATGTACCCATCGGTTTCTACCTCGTCTGTAAGCAGCAGTTGGCGTGGAAGGAAGAAGTTACATACGTTTTCCGAACGAGGGCATAGCCAAAATTCCGCTGAACATGCCCTGGTTGTATCCGTAGAGCACACCACCAAGACAGGCGAACAAGGCGATGAGAAAGACCTTTCCATTCTTCACAAGGGCCCTAGGGCCACTCGCGCCCATGAGGGCCTGACGTCTCTGAAGTGCAGCATCGAAGCCGGTCGGACCAGCGCCACCTCCAGCCATGGTGATATCCCTTGGTCAAACAATTGAGGTGGATAGATGGTTCAAGAAGACAAAAAGTCTGCAATCCAACAACTCCAGGAAACTCCGCAAATCTCGCAGCGCCTTCCTTCACAACGCCATTCTTATGTATAAGCGTCCCATAAGCCACTGTGCCGCAATCATCCAACACCCCAGTGCTCGGACCGCTGATTGTGGGGAAAAAGGGCTTCCGGAACCATCGCTTGCTCACACCCGGCCCAGCTCTTTACCCTGACAAGCAATTACCAAGTACGGAAACCAACTCCTGGGCATAGCATTAGGACGCGGCTTGAGCTCGCCAAGCGGAGTCTTGAGCGCCACTAATTGGGCAGGAGTTGGATGTGGAGCCTTGGTAGCCGCTCCGCCATTCTTGGCACCAGAGATGCATGTGTCGCTGATGTCGTTGGGGCTTGTTAATGTCCGCGCGCCAAGGTCGGTGAGATGGTTGTTTAGGCTGAATTGCTGGTTGGCCTGAGATTAGAGTGGTCAGATGTGATGGAGTGTAGTAGTAATGGTGATGGAGGCGAAGACGAGCTCGACCGGGTGAGTCGGCATCACCAATTATCGCTTGGATGACGGCAGATTCGTGCCATTCAGAATCTAGCAGTAAAAAAGCCTGAGCATCATTGTCTAAGGATATGGGACGTGAGATTACTCGCGCATGGCTAAAAGCCGCCTAATGGAGTCGGTGGTATGACCGGCGATGGAGAGATGAGCGCGACCTGCGACAACGGGAGATGACTGTGATTATAACTCGTACAAGCCACCACTTCGCCCGAGGACTAAGCCTCTCATAGAGCGAAAGATGACGATCATACGTTGAGGTCAATCGTTTGGACCCTGACCCCAAACAGGAATCAACGCACAACTACCACAATATGGCGAGAACAACTATCGCATCTTCCCGTAAATACCCCAGTCTCCAACAACAGTAGCATGTGGGCACACACAAACACTTGCACTTGCGAAGCTCGGGGAAAAGGTGCCGCCCCACCCCCGACCCGTCTCACGCGTCTCCGCTGACACGACAACAACACGACAACACCCGGTCCATCCGCAAAAAAACGCAATACCAACGACACCACAACATCCCAGGACCATCTTCAAAACCCTACCACCACAACAGCATCCGCCTCGCCCACCGCCACCATGCCAACCCCCCTCCTCCACCGCAAATTAGACACCCTGTACTCCATCTTCTTCGTCATTCACCTCCCCATAATGCTCTGCTTCGACCTAACCCCACTGTACCCATCTTCCGTCCTCCCCACGCCCCTCCTAGCCCTGCGCACCTGGTACACCACCACCTACGGCGACCGATTCTTCTCCGGTTCCCCACCAGTCTGGTTCCCGGTTTTCACCTGGCTTGAGCTTTTGTTCCACCTGCCGCTTACGCTGTGGGCGATACCGGCGTTGGTGAGAGAGGATCCGAGGGTGCCGCTTGCGTTGTTGGTGTTTGGCATGGAGACGACGTTGACGACGGTGGTGTGTATGAGTGAGATGTTGGGGTGGGGGGAATTGACGGCGGTGCAGAGGGGTTTAGGGGGTTTGGGCGGCATGTATGGGGGGTATCTTGCGCTTGGTAAGTGCTGTGCTGGGTGGGGAGGGAGAGAGAACGGGTGGGCTAAGTTTTGAATAGGTGTGTTTATGACGCTGGATTGCTATGCAAGGTTGGATCGCTTGATTGCGAAGCAGTATCGCTTGGAGCCGGTTTCAAAGAAGAATATCTAAGGGGTCAACAGCGAATATCAAGTGGGATGAAGATGGATTCGTAAATCTGGTTCATAACTTCATAACTGCAAATTATCGTACATGGTAATCATGTGTTCATCCAAAAATCATCATAAACATCGTAAGATATCCTGTATATCCGCGCCGAAAGAAACAAGCCATTTTCCAAAAACAAAGACTTTATCAGAAAGAAAGAAACGACCCTGATCAAGAAACTCTTCTTTCAGCCCCTCTAACCGAATCCAAAAAATACCAAGTCGAGCCAGCAACGGTGCATACCGATTCATGAAAGCGCCCCCATAGCCAAGGCCACAATCTTCGGGTTGGGTCGGTCCTTTCGTACAACTATATCCACCGGAAAATCAACATTTCGTTCGTTTTCTAATGGGCCGAGCGAACAAGGGCTAACCTACCCTTTCGGTCTCTGTCAACGCGCATAATCTCCTTCTTGGGCGCACGCTCGATGAATTCATACTCGCGGTCGCCTTCGCGCTCATACTTGAGCATGCGGCGCTCTTCCTCCAGTGATCGGATCTCCTCGCGGATGTCACGCTCAGAGCGGCGATCGTCCTTGCGGATGACAAGGGAACGGTGCTCGGGCAGGAATGAGGTCGCTGGGCCGTGGATGGCGGCTGAGCGGTCGATTTCAACGTAGCGCTCGTGCTCGTGGACGGAAGGGGATGGGGCGCGCTCAGAGTGTGCGTAGACTGTTGGGGCGTGGTGGGATGGCGGTGGTTGGGCGTATACTACCGTGGGGGGAGGTTGAGCGTATTGCATGGGTGGAGGCGGAGGCGGCGCGTGCATTACTGAAGGAGGTGGTGGAGGGTAGTATTCCTGAGGTGGTGGTGGTGCGGCGGAATGAACAGAGGGTGGTCGCGGCGGGGCATCTTCAACCTTTTCCTCGTAGACGTATGTGATTTTCTCTGCAAATCGTTAGAGGATACAGTAAGAGGATAGGAAATTACGTACCTTCTTTGTAGTTCTCGCTAACCTTAATGACCTCGTCGATGTGTTCCTTCTCGAGCGCTCGTGTAACAATGATGAAGTCGTCCTATTACAGTCAATAACGTTTCAACATCGATAATGGATGACATACCTCTTCCTCGAACGGGTAGCCGAGATCGATGACAGCTTGCTTCTTCACCAGGCGCTTTGGGAGTCTCGTCTTGCCCTTCTTGCCCCAGGTTGCGCGAGAAGGCTGAATCTCTTCGAAACTAGACATGGAGGAGCTGCGAGTTGACTTTGCTGCTACGCTCTTGCTCCTTCGTACTCTGCTCTTCTCTCGGTGAACTTCGACTTCGCGGTAGTCTTCTCGTTCCCGGCGTCTACCACCACGGTCGTCGTATGTGATCTCCTCAAAGTCGTCTTCCTCGTCGAAGTGATGACGGGGCGATCGGCGGCGCTCGCGGATGGGAAGTGGGATGGGGACATTGGCCGGTGGTCGGTACTCGTGGGTTTCGTATCGCTCAATCCTCTCAACATCGCCATATCGTGGCATAGGTCGGCGGTCAAAGGTGTCGAGGGACGATTGTCGTCGAATGTACTGTGGCCGTGCTGGTTTGGGCGGACGAGGGGTGCGTCGGCGCTCGTTGATGTCGATGTCAATATCGATATCTTTGTCGATTACAGATCTACGGCGATAGGGAGCAAGGGCTTGATTTGCGATTTCGGATGAACTGGGCTCATGGAAAAGCTCGGTAGGGGCACGACGGGGGGGTTGTCCAAAGCGCTCGTCCTCATGAAATCGTTCTCGCTCTCGTTCTCGTTCCATCACTGGAGGACCTCGGCGGGAGCGGTCTTCATGGATATCGACATCGCGATGGCCCCCAGGGAAGCGGTCGTGCTCTTGGAAGCGGAAGTGTTCATAGTCGTCACGACCACGGCCATGACCAGAGACGACGCTGCCGCCTCCACTTCCACCACCACCACCCCCTCCGCCTCTCCTCATGCGCTCAAATCTGTCACGATCCCATCGTTCACCACCACCACCACCACCGCGAGGCGGCTCTTCAAAGCGGCCCAAGTTGCCGGTCGAGGAGCGATAGGCCGACATGCTGAACGGTCCCGTGCGGGTCGCACTGACTGCGTGATGATGTATGTGGTATGATGCGGGGCACCAGCTATCTGTCCAAGCTATGTCAACAACGGGTTGAGTGAGACTAAAAGGCCGGCGATTTTGTTGCAGCAGATTAAATCCAGCACAACAAGTGGATTTGCAGGAATATAAAGACTTGGGCGCGCACGTTTCGGGGATTTGGTGGTATGCGTAACCAACTTTGCCCGAAGCATATGCAGGATTCGCGATGGGCTATGTCATAGGTGTGTCCTCCCTGCACGTCGAGGCCTGGCGTCAATCAATCTCGGTCATGTGTGGAGACCCCTGATGTTCAATCCACATTTGTTACCGACAAGCCTTGCCTACGTTTCATGTGAGCGGCGTGTTGGGCGTTCATGTTGGGCGTTTTCAGCGTCTTTTTAGTCCTTCTACTACACTGTCTTCGCCAATCTAGAGACGAACGACATTTGCATCTTGTTACCCAAGGCGTTGCTGCATACAAGGCTATCCCTACTAGAATTTCACCGTGACTGCGAGGTGTGCCCACCCGGCTGTTCTGAGATGCGAATGACGTCATTTACTAAGCAAGCTTGACGGCGCCCTCCGGCTAGAATGTTCCTGCAGCCACACAGCCACACAACACCAGTGCGCGTCGTGGGTGCATATCTGGCGAACGGGGTCCCGCCTTGGGCTACCTCTAGGCAAAATTCCAACACCGTCCAACAGACGCCAACACGTTGAGTTGGATGTTTCTGTTGGGGCATATCCGCTCCGTGTCTCACTTGGTAAAAGGGAGAGTTTGTAATCTACGTAATGATATGTACAGTATTCATACAGTCTCAGACACGCCTCACTTGGCTCCAACAACCTCTTGTATCTTCTTGGACACATATTCGGAGTCTACGGCTCGGCCCTTGATACTGCTCATGACCCTGCCCATGACATGTCCAGCGCTCCTTTTGCCTTCCTCTAGGCCTTCAAGAGCGCTCTTCACCAGCTCGTCAATTTCACTCTCGCCAACAGTCGGTATCTCCCCGGAGTACCCCTGCAGCACATCTAGCTGTGCTTGCTCCTTCTCCACCAGGTCCTCTCTCTTGGCATTTCGGAACTCCTCAATCGATGCTGAGGAGGACTTGATTTGCTTTTGAATGAGAGAGTAGAGGGCGCTGTCTGTGGTGATGGGCTTGGCTGTCTTGGAGGCGTTGATGATCTCAGCTTGTATTGCGCGGATCGTGTTGAGTGCAGGTTTGTTCTTGGACCGCATGGCATTCTTCAAGTCGGCCTGTAGGCGAGGGAGCACAACGTTTTCTGGGGTCGAAGTGGAGGAATAGCGAAGGCATACAGAGCGTGAGGTGAGCAGCTGCCTGCGTAGCATTGTTGAACGAAAGAGTGACATGGTGAATGTGTGTGTGTGTGTGTGTGCGGACGCAATGCAGGCGTGAGGTCGGATGAAAACTTCTGGCACAATGCGAGTGAGTTTGGTGCGACGGGAGCAGGCTAAAACGAAAGGAACGACGATTGGTTCGATACGGGTCAATTGCAAATAGCAATTAATCCTCAGAAGTGTAGCAAAGGCCAATTCAAAAGTCTGTATGACATAACAACGCACGCACCAAATCCGAAGCTAGCTACCACTTGCCGCCAAGAAATTTCCTGGTTCGTCCATCACTTTTGTACTTGCGCATCTGGAGCTTCAGTCGGGACCATCCTTTTTTTCGAGTCGCAATTCCGCTGGGGCACGTTTTCCTGTACATCGTCTACTGCGCGCCTTTCTTCTCCCACTGTTCCTGGGTCTGTCTGCGCGCTAATGTGCACGTGTTTCCGCGGCGCGTCACCAACCTAGCTCTTGTTGTCTCTGCGCGCAACACGCCAACCTTGGAACTCCAAAGCCAATCCATCATGGCTTTTCAGATGGCGCCCGCGACGCCTCAGCGCCCTACTCCCGGCGCCTTTGTTAATACTCCAGCACCGAACCGGCCTGGATTCACACGAACAGGGTCAATGTCGCAACCTCAGCAGCAGCAGCAGCAGCAAGCGCTGCCTGCACCGCCAGCAGAAAGCCCCATCGATCGCGCATCGCGGACCATAAACAGCATGCTGGACAGGGACAATCGGTTCCCAGCACTGGAGGCGTACATAGGACGTGAGTAGCTAGGAAACACTAGGATAGTGGTTGGAGGGCTAACACAGCATAGAGGGCGTCACTGGTGAATACGAGATACCGCAAAGTCCAGCATGGATGCCCTTTCAGAAATTGCGCTCCTACAAGCTCCCAGAGGCCGTGTTTGAGCAGGTCGACCATACGCAAATGTCGACGAGCATGGGCCTGTTCGCCGAGATCAACCACGCCTGGGTGGTCGTGGACAACCAGGTCTACCTTTGGGACTACACGCACCCGAACCCCGAGCTAGTCGGTTTCGAAGAGCAGCCCAGTAATATTACGTGCGTGAAGCTGGTCAAGCCGCGGGCCGGTGTCTTCGTCCCAAGCATCGAATACCTCCTCGTTGTCGCGACCGTGTCAGACATTTTCCTCATCGCCATCGAATGCCAACGGGGGCCTGAGGGTGTGCATGGCATCACAATGTACCGGACGGGGCTGTCGACGTCGGTTAGGAAGATCAACGTGACCGCCATTGCCGGCTCGGCAGCAACAGGGCGCATCTTCTTTGGCGACGGCCATACAGAAGACGTATACGAGCTGAACTACCAGCAGGAGGACAAGTGGTTCTCCAGCAAGTGCAGCAAGACGAATCACGTCACGCCATCCATTGGCTTACCCTCACTCCCATTCTACGGGCCCGCGAAAGTAGATGGCATACAGGACATGGTTATTGACGACACCCGGAAAGTTCTCTATACGCTTTCGACCAATGGCACTATCAAAGTCTACTACATGCGAGATTCCAACATTCTCGAGAGCGCCCTTACCCGCACACGAGACCAAATCGAGACAATGTGTGGCCATATTGTACGCTCAGCCGCCGCTCTGAGCAACATGCGAGTTGTTAGCCTGACGCCCATCACAAGCACAGAAGCGGACAATATGTCGTTGATGGCAATCACCTCGACTGGATGCAGACTATATCTAAGCACGACCTCTGGTGGCCAATGGAACTCTACCAACACGAGCGCTCCAAATAGTATGCAGTTGCGTCACATCCGATTCCCGCCACACCAAAATCAAAATACCTCGCAGCTCAGCAACTCGACACAGGTACAACCTTACCAAGGCAGTGCAGCAATCGCCTTCGATTCAACGTGGCTCACACAAACCAAGCTCGCAACCAGATACGCACCCGGTGCTTTCTTTTCCTTTGTACTCCAGTCGCCCAATGACCCGAATCACCACATGTTCGCTTCGGCTCCGCATTCGGGACTGCTAGCGCAACGGGAAAGCTCGGAGCCTCCGCGCTACACTGAGACTGGCATGTTTACACCGCTCATAGGCAGAGTTCAAGACATTGGCCTAGTCACAGCCCCCTTCTCCGCAAGAAACGAACCCCTCGGCTTTGGAAACGAGCTCTCCACCCAATTCGACATTCCGCTCTCCGAATACGCAATCATTACATCAAACGGCATCGAAACGGTTCGACGGAGACGGCTGGTTGACATCTTTGCCTCTATTGTGAAAGTTCATGGTCCAGACGGTGCTGAAGCTGATGTTCGCAAGCTCGCAAAGCAGTACGGTCTAGCTGAGACCTCTGCTACCGCCCTAGCTGTTGCCTGTGGTCAAGGATCGGATGTTGGGCCCGACTCGCGAATTGCGAAAGTAACCGACTCGGAGGTTATCGAATTTGCTCGAAAGGTCTTTATCGAATTTGGCGGAAAGGCCCATTTGACGGAGAGTGCAACAGTAGAAGGTCTGAGTGTGGAAAATGTTCGCGCATCACCACGGCACGATGGTATTGCTATGTACGTGTCACGCCTCGTTCGCTCAATCTGGAATACTCCCATCATCCAGGAGGTTGCCGAACCCACCGGTCCCGTCCTCACATCGACACACGGCACTGCCAAGTTGCACGAAATACAACGCTGTTTGGCCCAGCTCCACGAGTTTCTAGAGTCCAACAAGTCTTTCATTGAGGGATTGGCCGGCCCAGAAGCATTGGGACGCGCGGCGTCGCGGCAAGAAGAGGTTGAGCTCCAAGGCGAGAACCGGGCACTCACCAGTTTGTTGCTCATGATCAATAACATTGTTGAGGGCATATCTTTTGTTCTCGTACTCTTCGAAGAGCGCTTGGAGGATATCCTGGCGCTGCTGCCAGATCCTCAGCTACAAACGAGGGTCCGTCAGCTCACATTTCAGGGTCTCTTTTCCGCCAATGAGGGTAGGGAGATTGCCAGGGAATTGGTCAAGGCCATTGTGAACCGTAACATCACCAAGGGTTCCAATGTCGAATCAGTCGCCGAGGCCCTGCGGAGGAAGTGTGGCAGCTTCTGCAGTTCAGATGATGTTGTCATTTTCAAGGCTCAGGAAAGCTTGAAGAAAGCAGCCGACCTCGGCGTAAATGCCGAACGTGGGCGTATTCTGCTCAATGACAGTATGAGGTTATTTGAGCAGGTAGCCAAGAGTTTGAGCTATGAAAACCTGTCCGAGACTGTGAACCAATACATTCAGCTCGAGTTCTATGCTGGTAAGCTGATCCATCCAATCAATAACACTCCTTCAATTGCTGACAATCCTAGGCGCTATCAGACTTGCCCTCAAGGTTGCCCATGAATGGGATCGGGGTAACAAGGCGCTTTCTTGGGTGCGGGACAACCGTGACCACAACGGCGATCCAAACGATGCCCGGCGTCAATTCTACGACAAGCGCGCATTTTGCTACACCTTAGTCTGCAAGGTCATCGAGGCCGTCGACTATGCTTACAACACCCAAGGACCTGTACCAGATGGTGTCATCTCCGCAGTCACCCGTCGCAAACACGAAGCGTATGAGCAGATTAACAATTCAGAGGACGAGGTCTTCCAAAACTACCTTTATGATTGGTATATGGAGAATGGCTGGTCCGAGCGATTGTTGGAAATCAACTCCCCCTTCGTCGTCGAGTACCTAAAACAGAGCTCGGAGACAAACTTGGCACATGCGGACCTACTATGGCGATACTACGCTCACTACAACGACTACCTAAGTGCAGCGGATACACAATACCAACTCGCGAAGAGTACGTTACCGTTGACGCTGGAGAAGAGAATAGAGTATCTGTCTCGAGCCAAGGCCAATGCCTCGACGCGCATGACCGGTTTCGCGGATGCCGGCGTACGTAACCGGCAATCTCGACAGGAACTGCTACGAAACATCAGTGATCATCTCGATATCGCCAACATCCAAGACGATGTGTTGCAGAGGATTAGGGGTGACGAACGACTCAGTGGCCAGCGGAGAGACGAGGTCATTGCCCACCTCAACGGTCAAATCCATTCTCTTGACGAGGTAAGTTAACCCAATAGCCTTTTTGTTGCATTTCTAACATCTTCCAGCTCTATCACGACTACGCAGACCAAGCAGCATATTATGACATTTGTCTGCTTATATACCACGCCGCCGACTACCGCAGTGTACCCGATATTCGCTCGACATGGACCAACCTCATTGATCAGACCCATCGTAAAGCTCTAGCAGATGGCCAAAGTGCACCTTGGGAGGCTGTTGCACTGAAAGTTGAGGACCTTGGTCACCGTACCAACCTAAACGACAACGTATTCCCAGTGAACATTGTCCTGCAACTCCTTCTCCAGTACGACTTGGAATTCTACGTGCATGATGCGAATGCGCCAAACACACAAAATCTAGCCTTGAACTCCAACTTGACGTGGCCGATCGACGTCTTCCTTAAGATTAACGCGCCGTATGAGAACTTGGTTGCGACCTTGGAAGCGTTGTGGTATGCACAAGAACAGCCGTTTGCAGGCCGCAACCGTAAGCTGCTCGTCAAATGGATCGTTTACCTGGTGGAGCACTGGAGTAAAGCTAGTAGACGGACTGGTACACTCTTCGGTGGCCCTGAGAACGCCATTGGCCTTGCTGAGGTGATGCGCATCATCTTAGGCAGCGAAGTACTGGGGCGAGACATGGATGATCAATCATGGATCCAACGGGCGAGAGAGGTCAGCGCCACTGTTGAGGAAGCCGCGCGATGAAGAGTTATATGAGAAGAGTGTCGTACTTGGTTATGAAAGATCTATGTAAGAACGGTTGTGATTTGGTTTATCTTCTCTTTGCCATTCATCACAGCGCGAGGCGTTGAATAGGTGCATGAGTATAGGGGGCTGGCTGGCGTCAAAAGCATGGCATGAAATGTAATCTTGTAGGACCTTTGATAATTGGATTGGCGAGCAAGACCAAGGCTAGCATGTTCATTGCATCCAAGTACTGTAGTTAATAAGCGTAAATAGATGTCAAGTGTGTGTGAGTCAGTAGAACTTGGAGACACGGAGTTTAGCTCTCTAATCCCCGGCCGAGACCCTTTCCCCAAACCTAGCCTCCTACATGTTTCTATCACTCATGACAATCCCACCAAGTACGCTCCCAAGACCACGTCCGCATTGTGAAGGAACCCCGCCTCCTATCTAACGCGCCATGTGACGAATCGCGTCCCATTTTCGCCCGACCTACCACACCTACAATGCCAATATGCATATCCTGCCGCACCCTCGTGCGCACACTCTATACGACCTACTCCAAAGCCGACGACCGCGCACTCGGCAAAGGCGTGCGCCTAACGCAATGTCCCGTATGCAAGAAATTCGCGGATAAATACGTCGAACACGATTTTGTAATCTTGTTCATCGACCTGGTCCTTATAAAGGCCGAGGTGTATCGGCACTTGTTGTTTAATCGGCTGGGGAGGGATGATGAGAAGTTTGATGTAAGTATACACCATAAACCAACAAAGCGAGGGAATGGAGGCATAGTGAACGGATACAGAGGGTGATAGAGAGGGGCTGACGAATAACAGCGATCAATCCTCCGCCTAGGAATCCTCCTTCTCCTCTTCGACGTCTACCTAACCTGGGCCCGCATCGAAAAACTTCCCTTACCACCCACCTCGCCGCACCACCCTTCCTCCTTCTCCGATCCGACCCAAAACACCACATCACTCACCCCCACACCAATAACCAACGCCCAATTCCTACAGTCATACCCCCTCGGCCTCCAATACCTCTTCTTCCTGCTCCTCGTAACCCTCTCCACACTAGCCTTCCACCTCCCCATCCGCCTCCTCTGCGCCGCGAACCCACCGTCCCCCTTACGCACCCTCTGGCGTAAAGCGATTCCCTACTTCCCACACGCTACGCCCCTGTCCACGGCGCTGCTGGTGAGTAGCTGTACGAAGCTCTTCCCGATTTTGCTTATTATCTGGGATTATGACCTCCCGTCCAGCGCGACGGCAGTTAGTTGGGCCGTGATTGTAAACAATATTGCCGCGCTGGAGATTCTGATGGACTGTGGATATGTGAGGGCGGGACTGCTAGTGGGGATTGGGGCGGGGGTGAGGACGGCGATAGGTTGGGGGTTTTTGAGGGCGGCAGGGTTGGGGACGGGGTGGGAGGGGTATGCGAGGGAGTGGGTGGATGGGGGGAGTGCTTGGGCGTGGGTTGGGGATTTGGTAGGCACGTAGATGGAGAACGAGAGATTAATGTGTGTAAATATGATACCCCCAGTTTGATTGAATCTCATATTGGCTACAAATTCACAAAGCATGTCCGTGATACGCCAGACTGATTATACACATGTTGCGCCTGAAAACTCGAAATATGCTTCATCTCCATCTTCCATGTTCGACTCTGCCACGGTTGCACAGTACGTCTCAGCCGCAGCTTCTCAGCATGCCAACCAACTTGTCCAACCAACGGCCCTTCCCATTGTCCTCTTAAACCATTCCCTTAACGCCCTCCATTCAACTCCGGTCGCAAGTCGCCCCGTACCGGCGAAATAAGCGGGTGCAATTGCGCGAGAAACGTGATCGCCCACATGATATACATGGCAGCCGCCGAAAGCACAAGCGTAGAACGCCAAACCCTATATTTTGAAAACACATATACGTTAGCCCAGATTCTGGTTCTTGTCCCCTTCATCATCCGGTTGTGCATCCGGCTCCGGCTCCTCGCGCCATGCTCTTCTCGTCCTCGGCACCATCGAAATCGCTGTAGCTGTAGATGCTTGTTGGAGGAGAAGTACGGATCCGCGTCGTCTCATCGCTACCGCTATCGTCAAAGTGAACGCGACGGGCTCTCTCACGCTTCTCATGCACAGCGAGCAGCTGTTCCAGAGACGTCTTGGTGCGCAGACAGGGTTTACAGGGTTGAAGAGCAGCGCGGTGCTGGCGGTGGAGCGAACCGGGTGTTGTGCTGGACTGGTGGAGACGGGGACGGGCAAACACGTACGTTTGGTTTTCGCCCTTTGGTGCTAGAACCCAGGATGCAGCGCAGAAGATGACGACGACGATGAGGCCGATGATGGGCGCCCAGCTATGTTTTCAGATGCGTTAGTGGTTTGCCTCTTTGTCTGCGCCATGTGTGTGATTCGTACCCGTTCGCCATTGTGATTTGGGGAGCTTGAGGGAAGTTTGGGGAAGCTGTCGGGAGCTTGGGATTTGAGGGTACGGCGACGCGACGGGGTGGTGGGAGTTTTTGCGCGCGGTTGATGGTGGAAGGGGCGGTGGATGAAGGGGAGGGTAGGGCGATGTGGTAGATGTAGAGATGGGGTTGTTGCGATGCGTGAGGGCATGACGCCTGTTCGACAGGGTTCGGCTTGGCGGGCTAGGCTGCTTTGGGTTATGGGTGTATATTGGGATGGAAGTCGCGTTGGGTGACAGCTGTAACTACGAATGTCATTTATGACGGCATGCGGGGAGGACTTCATTTGCGAAAAACAGCTGTTCGTTGTATTCAAAGGTAATTCTAGTGGAATTCTGCATAGATGCTTGGGTGAGCACGCAGGAGGAATGTCACAGTCTTGGATTGAGTCTCCTTCCAACTTGATCATTTTGCCTACGAATACTTCGATATCTATTTTGACACCAAAATATCACCTGCAATACACGCAGAGACAAGTCCGACTTTCGCAGCGGCTGCACGGTCCGTTGCCCGCTTGTTCAGGATACCGATGTGCTCTCTGGATGCTTGACTGGGTAGGTAACTCAGTCCGCTTCATTTCGACGGCACCAGCTGAGACAGATGACGTTCGGGAGGACCTTATATGGGTTGCCTGAGCTCCTATATCGGCCATATCGTGAGTATTTGAGTGAGGTGGTTGCTCTGCAATGTTGTTGTTGTTGTTGATTCCTTTCGCCGCAACACATCTTCCCACACGTTGTTTGCTCTACAACATTGATCACCCGCACTATGATCCTTCTCTTCTTGCCCATGGAACAGCTGTTCTTGCACTTTCCACAAACTCCATGATACGATATGTGGCTTCGGAAGTCATCGCTATCTGGCCGGGAAGCTCTCGTTTTCACTGGGTTTGACTCAGCCTTCCAAGGTGTTTCATTCTCCAATGCCCCTGATACTTCCGCATTCACCTCATTTTTGTCATCCTCTTTGGCTGCTTCACCTAATCGGTGGTTGACGTTCGACACTAGTCGGGAAATAGATCTACCTGTGGACGCGACTTGCAAGGTTAGCCTCCGGTGAAGCGCCTCACTTCGCTTAGTCTAGTGAGTGGCTCCTGCCCACATGTTCGTTGGTACACCAGCGTTCTTTCTGACATCTCCACATTGTTTGTCTTCTCAATATATTTTTTCCGGTATGGCTTTTATTGAGCGATGCACTGGACCACCTTCTCCAATCTTCTTGTGCCACTGACCGCCTTTTCCCAGCATCAACTAACCACCTTATGCTGGTGTAACTACTGCAAGAATCATGCAATATGTGCTTCTGTCACATGCATGGTGCGTCCGCTATCGCTGTGCTGGATAGTCTCTCTGGGAACCTGCGGTTGAGAAACTCTATCATACGGTCTATCGAGTCAAGCTGAACTTACTGTAAAGACTGGATTAAAGAGGTGGGACAATCAGGTGTACGAGAGTCTCTCGTCGCTGGAGTAACTAGGATCTGGAATCTGGCTGCAGACTGGACCAATGTTGCGGACACACGGCGATGTGCATAGAGCGAAACACGTCACAAATAATCGTTCGACTTATGGAACACTGATCCAATGATTAACTGGCTTCGCATCTACACCCAGGGATATGATGGTCCGCTCTACCAGCCCTAGTCTTACGAACCGTGGCACCGTTGTATGAGTACGCATTTGTAGCGACGAGCTGTCGTGTATACCCTCCAAGGACACCAAGAAACTCTACGTCGCTTCCCACGTCGCTCTCGGGCTTTAGTCTCGCTATTCCTTCCTCAAATCTCAGCACAACTAGGTACACTAGAAGCTGGTTTCCGTAGGACCAAGGCGGAAGCCTCAGAAACCAGACCAACGCTTTAGCTTCATTCTACAGCACCTTAACGTCGATCCGATAACGGAACAAGGCAGATATTCCTCAGCGCCATGTATGCTACCAATCTTTCGTCTTACCTGTATCCTTCATCCCGCAAGGGTGAGTAGCCGAATTAATTATCGGATCCAGCGCATGCGGCACTTGTACGTACGGCATATTCATCATCTGTCTAGTACGACTTAACTATAGGTTGCCCCATGACCTTACTCACTATTCGGGTTGGCCCCAGTTGCTGCCTTAGCCTGTTCAGCTTTGGCTGGGCATTGATCCCTGTCGGTACTTAGTAAGGCAAATTCCCTTCGTTATAAGTAATTCAACCACGGCATCGGATGATAATCTGTGATCCGATCAAGATCATTTGACTGTCAGCTTCTACGCAAACACCACGTCAGCCGAACGCTTTGTTACTCCGAGACCGAACATCAAACGTCATTCTCATTGATCACACTGAACCTCATTCTTTGCTGCACTTCGGCTTCATCCACGATTCGATTGCATCGACGATTCTATGGACGACAACTATATCTTGATCGAAAACGATTCCATGATAAGCGTCGCTCCATCGCCCACAGATTCATCGCCACCAGCGCCGCGAGAGGCAAACACACCGATGGTCGGGGGATACTGTGGTTCGTTTGAACTCTCAAATGAGCGGGACGCGGGTTCTTCGGCATTCATGTCTGTCAGCAAGGATGAACACCGGTCTGCGGACGTGATAACGGGCGAAGAAGAGAGGCAAGATAAACAAGGCGTAGATCGATCACTGCAAGAAGGAAAGGACTCAGTTGTCGTCGATCTCAAGCCAGACTATCAATGTGTCCTACTGGGTTCTATTGCCAAATCTTCGACTCCGGCAAGCCAGGCTCCTCCGCCCCCACCGCCCCCACCGCCACCGCCGGTGAGTCTTGAATTCTCGAGACAGTGATCGAAACGTCTAGCTAACATACCATAGCCACCACCACCACCACCACCACCACCCGGCGGGATACCAACCTGGGTTGCTGCCTATGGGGCTATTCCTCCGCCACCGCCTCCTCCTGTAAGCCACCCTGTCTTACTACAAACAATGACTAACGATTCTAAGCCACCACCACCACCACCTCAAGCCCCTGCTCAAATAAACGCACTCTCCACACCATTCTTCAAAGTCGGTATTGCAAATCACTTTATTCCAGCCGTATACTGTGAGGATCCTTTCGTCGAAGATCTCGCCCAATTAGTGCATATTGGACCATTCAGCCGCAACGTCTACGTCACCCGATATGCTGCCCATACTACCGATTACAAGGAGTACGAATGGCTCCTTAAATATGGCTCTACAGAGCTATGGTATGAGAAGCCCAGCAAAGCACATCTCAAGAATATCGAGACACAGGAGGTAAGCCGATGGCTGGATAAATTGCCCTCGCTACCGAATGCCAGGCCTGTCAGTCTCGAAACACCCAGGGTATGGGCCTCGGCTGCGATGAGAACGCCAATAGATGACGATGTCCCGAAATGTCTTGCCGACCATCCCGACACTACACACCCTTCTCGTTCATGTTTTCCATGTTCGAACGAGAAAGCGACCTCATTAGGGGCTACGCCGCTTGTTTACTGTCTCGTGCTGAGTACCTGTCAGGCTGCCGACCCTTTTGTACACGGGTCACATTTCCACGGCAAGCAGATTTACAAGCTGATCAAATGCGGCAGTCGCGATGCTGCCGTCTCAGAAGCCTATCATTCTGCCGGGGTAAACGGTTGGAACCTAGTCTTTAGCTGCGTCATTAGGCTTGGTGAGGACCATGACGAGCGAGATGGAAAAGCAAAGAAGGTCCCACACCTCTGGTCCTTGTCTGAAGAGGACGAGGACAGACAAAGCATCAGGACGTTCTACTAGAACGAACCCGTCCTTTTTCCCACGCACCTTTTCATCATGAA